TTTCCCCAATTATAATGAAAACTATTTGGAAAATAAAAAAACGGCCTTTTTTAGGATTTTTTTTTATATTTTCTTCAATACAAATAAATATATCATTAATAATTAAATTTTTTAAAAAAAATCTCATTTTAAGTTTTTTTGTTTACATTTACCGTATAGAATAATTTCTGAAAATAATACGATTAGTTGTACTTATAATTAAAATAAAATACAATTTGCCAAGAACATTTTTATTTAACATAATTTTAAATGTAAAATAAGTAGCATTGCATAATAGTATATAATAATAATAATATATAATTTTCTAAAGTTTCTTTGATAAAACTGCAGAGAAAGATTTAAAGTGTATATTTACGTCAAATAAATAGAATTCGAGGTTTTCATTAGATATATTAGGTATCTTATACATTATTATGTTTTGTACCAAAACATTTGGAATGCTTGATGGTGTGTACAAATACGACAACCATAAATATCTAGAGGAAATGGTTACGGCTGTTAAATTTCTCCAATGTTAATCCAAAGTATCTTTGGCCTCTATAAATAAACGACAGAGATGCGAAGTAGCGCTGCAATGAATGTGGTAACGAAGCCCATTTCGACCCGAGTCATCAATTGTATCAAATGGCGAACGGTTTTGAGTGCAAATCTAGAATTTCGAAATTTCCTAACAAGAATTTTAATTATCATCAACCCTCTATAATGGCAATAACATGTCCCCCCCAATAATTGGCTGAAAATAGTCTCTGAAAGTAAATAATCGAGTATTATGCGCGATGTGCTTCATTTGATTCGTGTACGCGATAATTATTTGGACTTTGCATCGTAAATCTGGCGGCGAAACATAAAACGGCCACTGGCCACCGAAAACATCGCAGCGGAGAAACTTGTATGTATAGATAATTATAGTAATATAGTTAAATTATAAAATAACTGCGAAAACTTTAGCGTGAGTGAATTTCGGTAATAAAGTTATTCATATTTTCATCATTTGAATAATTATTATACTGAGGGGGACTGGCCGCCGCCACCGAGTGGTAGTCTAAGTGTAACTTTTTGGTCGGGTGAACATTTAGTGGAGCAGTAAAAACCAATTAAGAGACAGAACTTCCTTGTGGTAATAAATCGTGACAAAAAAAATTAGCATTGGTTGACGGTTTTTTTTTTTGCTTCTAAAAGCATTTTATAATAATTATAAAATGGTTTTGAAAGTAAAAACAAAAAAAAAAAAAAATCCAGTATGTGTTTGCTATATAAGGAGTTAAAAAAAAAAAATTCGTTCTTATTGTTAATCCGTCTTATACAGCATTATGCAGCAAACATATGTATGTGTACCTACCGCACAGAAATAACGTGTATGTATATAATGTATAGGTATACAAGTAAACACAACGAAACAATTTAATATCTTTCTGCGAATAAATTACGATCGTTTAAATATTGAGTTATTATTTCAGTGATATTTAAACTGTGCGTTGCAGCTCCTAAGGGGCGGTAAAGAGAGCCACGACGAGCAGCAGATCCAGAACAAGATAAGGGTGAGGGATGATTTAGAAAACTCTTATTAGGCACACATTTATGATTGGCTCAAAAATAAACCAAGCTAAGAGTTTAATGGGGCCGCTAAAATATTTCGATGAGATGAAGGATCCGTGACATGACGATACAGTTTGATTGCGACTGAGTTATTATACTATAGCGTAACCTATTACAATCCATTAAACATTACGATTTTTTTTATCACCGGATAGAAAAATTATACTTCTAAAGTTTCGTATCGAGAAATTAGTTAAGAACCGAGTCACTCGTATAAATGTTATTTAAATGTTTTATTTTATTGTTGTTTTTGAATGATGTATTATAATATACAACCCCCTTGTTGTACAGAGTCAGCCTTATGCGCTTGATTGGATTATTTTCGTGCTCGGGCAACTTTATAACCAGATTTGTAATACCTCCGCCTTGTATTTTTTTTTTTTTTTTTTACACTGTTTCGCAGCACAACAAAGCTTCGCGTTCCCGCGGGAGGGCCGTGACTTTTTTTTCCTCTTCTTTTTATTTGTCTTGGTTTGGAGACGCGTGCGTTCGACCCCCATGCCTTATTATATTCTCATCCAAACAAGTCTTCCCATTCGAATCCGGAACCGAGTCACGCGTTTCCTCTACACATTCGCCTTTACCCGTGGTTTGCATACGAAATCCGTTTCTCGGTTCTATTGGTGGGAAATTGTTCTTTATTTTTTCCCCTCACTCTTGATTTTCTTTCCATTCTCTTATACAGGTAATACTACACATAACCCGCTCGAGATCCGAGAGAGCTTATAAACTAAGCTCGACGTAATGCAAGGGACTAGGTTGTTCGCGCATGCGGCGTTACCCCAACGGGATAAAAATGTATTGGAAAAGCGTCTGCATCCGACGGCCGCGAAATTGAATTCTGGTTTAATCGCATTTTGATGCGCGCATGTAAATCCATTCCATATATTACTATACGAATTTAAGTATTGTCGAAAAGAACGAAAATAATTTTTGAAACCAATCGGTAAAATCACAATACAAATATCAATAAATTGTATACTTACATCGTTCGTTCGAGTTCGCTTTATGGGTAAGTATATAAATACAATTTCTGAAAAATTGTATAAGTACACACTTTAATATTAAGGGCTATATCTTAACGGTTTCTTTAAAGTTAATTGAAAAATGTTCTCTTTAATCGACCGTATTCTATTATATTATTATAAATTATAATCACGACTCAATCTGAATTGTTTACAATATTACCACTCCGACATTTTAACATAAAGCAAGTCAGTCGACGTCATTTTTCAAATCTATAGTGCAATCGTTATTGTAAATAATCGTGGGTTAGGAAAGTATACAAATTAAAAATATAAATATCCGGTGACAGGTAATAATCTAAGAATTACGTATTTATTTTAGTATTAATTACAATAATATTATGTTAATAGATTGACCGGTTGATTGGTTTACAGTTATTTCAATATTATTATCATTTCGCAATGGCGTAGTTTTAAGTTTGAGTCTTTTGTAGAATATGTAATTTTTAGACTTCGTTAGTGTATAGTGAAGAAATTATTACAGTTTTATTAAGATGTGTTTTTCTCACATAAAATATTTTTTCGATTATTAAAATCTCCCAAAATAGTTCACACCGCATGTTTCCTAAGTTGTACACTTAGGAAACATGCGGATTTCTCGTCCAGCGGTAGGTAGTTATTTATTTGAACAATTTGTCTAGATCTCTGATAGTTTTTCTAAAAGATTAAAAATACTGACAACGAATAATAACGATGATACATTCGGATTTATTCTTGTTGATTTCTAAAGTATCTCGAGTAATAAAAACACAACTAATACCACTAGTTCATCGTTCAATTGCATTTTTTTTTCAAGTAGATTTATACATTACTCTATATCCTGTGTACGTTCCAAACTTCTCATCTGCAGCCAAGGCCTACCGCCTAACTATATGCCAAGTATTTTTTACATTCAATTTTGACTCTTGATGTGTTTTATAATGAGAATTCATCTATCGACATTTTATAAGTTTTATATTTTATTATTTGTATCGTTTTTGATTCATCAGTTATTAAAATTTACGGCATATTTTCAAATGATTTTGTTTTTAATAAAATTAAAGATATTTTTGAAAGTTTACAGAACTCATTAGCTACATTAAAAAAGATCTGATAGTGCTGATGGGTGTGTCACTGTTGTAGGTGAAAAGTTAGAAAGGTAGGACCATAGTAAGAAAATGTATGTTCTGACACCTCTACCTCCACCCACCACCATCTAAACCTCTCTCAACCCAAAATGCCCGAGTTTCACGAGCTATTTAGATGACGCCATCCTTTTTAATTTTTTTTTTTTAACTACTGTTCAAACTAGCTTAACAATTCTGGTGTCATGCGATGACAGGAATAAGGCTAGCCGTAATCAAAGTTACAACCAGGGTGAAGGGGGGTTTATGGTTATAATCCCTCTTTCAAATTTGAGATTTCGTACCTAACAAAAAAGACTTCCATCTATTGCTTGTTGGTTCCTTAATATCTCCCGTCTAAAACTTATCACGAGTACGTAAATTCCTAAATGGCTCCGGTATTAAACAAAAAAAAAAAAGGTGTTCACGAAATTTTTTATGGTTATAGTTTTTTAAAGTTATATGTCTAGGTACTACGTATGTTTTTCATAAAATTATTTTGTACTGCCGGTGACCGATGCAAAGTAGACAGCGATTGTGTCTTATGTTATTTATTAGTGTGGTTCTTATTTGGGTAATGGTCAAATTTTTGTTTTGACGCCCCTTAACTTTATTTTAAACCAGTGGTCGGCAACCTTTTTAGACTCCCGGGCCACATTCATAAATTAAAAAAAGTTCGCGGGCCAGACAAAAAAAAAAAATAACTGTTTAAAATATTAAAATAATAGATTAATAGAACATAAAAATAAAATTACAGTTTTTAATAATATAATTATAATATAAAAGTATGGAAATTACAACTGCTTAATAGGCTTAATGTGATTTTTGTTGTTGAATATTGTTTATTTTTTCGATTTCCACATTAAAATTACTTGTGCTGGCTCTAAGTACATGGTGGAGATGGTCATCAGTTAAGCGTGAACGGTATGGATTTTTAATTTTTTTCATATGAGAAAAAGCCTGTTCACATACGTAAGTGGATCCAAACATACTGAAGTATTTTGCAACTATATTTTTAATTTTTGAAAACGATGCAGGAAGTTCAGTGAAAAAAAGTAAAGGCGATGCTTTGAATGAGTCTTTTAAGATACTTTGTGGCTGCAAATCTATTATTTCCATTTGAAGCTCAACAGGTATATCTTCATATCAATATTAAACGGATTGGCGAGTAGTTGAAAATACTGTGAATGTCGTTTGAAATCTTGAAATCGATTATTAAATTCTTGTTGAAGTATCGAAATAGCTTCAACAAATTTAATTGTTGATAATGAAAATTCTAACGATTCAAAAAGTTTTTCCCCTTCAAAGTACTGACGGCGGCAATTTCTTCAGTTATTTCAAACTTTTCATTAATTCCTCGAATAAATACAATTAACTGTGCAGAGTCAACAATATCTGTACTTTCATCAAGTGCTAACGAAAAATATTGAAATGTTTTGGTTTTTTTTATCAGTTCATTTAATAAATTGTCACCAACATTTTCAATGCGTCTTGTTATTGTACGAGCAGATAATGGGACTTCTTCAAACTTATGTACAATATCTGGACAAATATTACCGGCCATGCGTAGTACACATTTTTGGACAAATTCTGCGTCTGTAAATGGTTTTCCCTCTTTCGCAATTAACATAGCTACATTCACACTGGCAGAAATAACGGCTTTATTTTGAATAGTCACTTTTGAAAAGATCGTTTGTTCTCCGATTTAAGGAGTCATATTTAACTTTATGCTTGGATTCATAATGCCGTTTAATATTGTATTCTTTCAAATCAATTTCAAAATTAAATCAAATTTTCAAATTAATAAATTATTTACTTAGTTTAGCCATTTTTTAATAATATTTCAATCACTGATATCTTGGATTATCACTGGATCTTCAGGTCTGAATGTTTTAGACAAAAAACGTCCTGTAAAAATAATAAATCATGAAATTATAATATCAGAATAATATATCAGTAATAGATATAATATAAAACAGTATATTATACATACTAATGCATTTGGCAGTCTTGTATTAATATGTGTACATTAAAGATTTAAAAAAAAAATAACCATAACAATAAAAATAAGTCACAAACTAAACTAAAAATGAGAAGTAGACTAAACTCAAATATTAATAAAAAATAAATACAATCAGATTCTCTATATTATAATAATGTGTTTAAATGCTACAGTAAAAATGAATTGTAAAATAATTACTTTTGTAGGTTAAAAGGTTTACATGCTGAAAACAATGATAAATCATCATAATCAAAAGATTTTGAGTGAAGATATCACAATAATTAATGTTATTAACAACCCAGTATCAAATATTTTTATATTTCGCCTAATCCATCTGTGGAATTTACCTAAAAATATTATTGTAATGACAAATGATAAGATATGTATCATAATTGTACTAGTAAAAAAAATTATTAATATTGGTGATAAATAATAAATTTTAAATTCTTAGTTTAACTATTATTATTATTATAATTATTATTTATTGAATGTGAAAAAAATTAATTTAACTTTTAAATTGTACTGTATTTGTACAATATATATGCAGTCTTCTTAGCTAATATAAGTTTAAATGACATCAGATATCTGACATATAGGTTTTAAGGTTTTGTTTATCAGACACTCCTGACTATAGTTACTTATTGTCAGCAATAGGAGAACAGATTTTAAACTGTGAAAGTTATAGTACTTATGTATTATTCAGATTCTAGACAGGCATACCTAATTAGATCAAAAGGACAAACGGGTGACCAACATGCACAATGAAGTAATACCAAATACCTGTAGTAATATTAATATATAAGATCCAGATTTAGCTATCAGTGTATCGGTGACATGGCTGTTGGGACTTCACACTATTTTTATTATTATTAAAGTGCTCTTATTGCAATTAAATTACATGATTGTAGTCAATACTCAGTCTTTCTTTAACCAATGTTCAAACAGTAGGTATGCGTGTGCCACATACTGTGTCGAATGTGTATTTTATATAAGTTCTCATAAATTATATTGTAATAATTGTGTTTTATGACTAGCTAGTGTCTACATTGTTTGCTAGTTTGCTACATAATGTCATTACTCTCATATTCAATGCAATATTATTGTAATTTTGCTGTATTTTCTATCAAGTGCATTTGTCTAGAATATCACTATCTTCAATAATTTAATCTACCGTCCTCCTCCTACATACTATATAAAAAATGTATTAATTGTATTATTTTGTGTTACTATTCTATGTGCCCCTCTATTTCATGTATGTATCAAATATGTAATAAATAAAGAACAATGTATACTACAAGGGTATTTATGTTTAGGCATACCCATAAATAATTAAATAAGTTTACTCAGTGGTGTTTTCAGAAAAAGAAATTATAGGATATAGTGTATACGATCATTTGTGAATTTAAGAAACAGATGTTGTGATTTTATATACATGAAACAATTCAGATTTAACCAAAGACTATTACTACGCTTCCAAATTCGCAAACTTTACAAAAATGATTTTTTCTATACCTGGTTTTGTATATTTTTATTTATGTACTTGGTCATAAAAACTATTTTACCAGTCCCATTAAATATAATAATTTTTTAAACTAATTTTAGATTTATAATATCAAATTAGAGCTTTTAAATGATAAAGTTACATCAACAATGTAATGAGCAACAACATGAAACTTTAATCACAAATTTTAATAGTAAATAAAGAGGAAAATTACTTATTTAAGTTTTTTTAGTTACAGCTAATACACAATACTATAGGAACTCTAATTTTTATGGTAACACATTAATTACAAAAATATAGACTTCACAAAACTTACCGCAAACTATTTTTGTCCTCAGTTTAATATTTATTTTTGTTATTTTAGACTTGTATCTACAGCACATTGATATTTTACCAGCCAACTTTTAACATAGTCTTCAAGATGCTAAATATTTATTTAAGGTCCAAACATATTGCTAAATATTAAATTAGCTATATTATTTACAATTAATTGTGAATGAAAATCAGTATGAATACTATTCATAAAACTCAATCCTTGTTCACATTTTGTTAAAGAACATGAAAATGTTTTTAGAAAATCAGACATCACAATTTTAGATTCATTATTTTGGTCAACGTTAATTTGTCTTCTGCAATTAATTGTGTTGTCACATAATAAATAATTATACAAAATAATAATTCCTTAATTTGTAAATCTCATAAAGGCTAAACGTAAATTTTTTTTTAAAAAATTGTTAAGTATTTGTACTATTTTTACAGGGTGTATGATTATTCACCGACCAGTAAAAGGCTATACGCCATATACCCTCCAAAACACAACTGGGTAAACCTCTTAAGATTATACAAGCTGATTCTGTGATTTCAACCACTAACAGTAAAAAATTGTTCATACTACAGAGCTTTAGAGTGTTACCTTTTGGGTTAGTCATTTTCAACTGTCAAAATTGATTAAATATGCATACATACAGTGGCGTTGAAATAGTTTGAAAATACAAGGGCAAACTAATTTGATTATTATATTACATAACATATAATGTTTAAATTATATTCAATATTCATAGTACTATTTTTATAGTTATATTTTCTACTAATATTATGTGTATTTAATATACTCACCCCCCACCGAAAAATTTGGTGAAGTGGTCGCCAGATCTGTACCCCTAGGACAGTCCCACTGCATGTATTTAATCTATGGATTTAAATCGTAAACGGCACTTGGCGTTATTGACTACATACGACATTGGACGCCATTTAGACCGAATTTTTATTTACGTTGTTTACACTACAGACGTCCAGATTCCATAATGACACGGCAGCGTAGTTTCTAGATAAAAGATAAAGTATATTATCTATACTATATTTCTCGTAAAACTACGAAATATAAGTTAATCTTTAAATTTTTAAAAAATGTTTCTAATCGTAGAATTTAAATTATGTAAATGGCTGCAATAGAGTTTGTTACACGGCTAAATAACTAGTCATAGCCATGGTTTGTCTTTGTTATGAATATTCTGCACAGTAAAAAAAAGAGCAGCGATCGTCACAAATATTTTTTTTTATCATTTATCATATTACAAACAATTTTTATCAATTTTATGTGTGTTATCTCGTTTATCCGACGAATCATCATAGAAAATATCCCAATAATATGCCACAAAAAAAAATTAAAAAGTAAGTTATAGTGGAAATTATCTGTTTTTTTTTTCTGGTCTTTTGTTTGTGTGTAATTGCCATCTTAACTATAATTTTACAATATAACGACAGTTCGACCGTTATCGTTTATACTCAATTATGTTAAGTACATTTAACGACTATGCATAGTCTATAGGATACATATTCGTCGCTTGTCTCGTGGTCCGTTTTTCTCAGCTCCTCGTCCGGCATTATATGAGTAAGAATAATAATATTCGGCAACAAATTTTAGGTAATAATATAAATTGTTATTACAAATTAAAAACACTAGCCGGAATGTGCCCAAAAGTCTTACGTAATTGAATGGGTTTCATCGCGCCCGGCCATGGCAATGATTATTGTGTGACAGTTATCGGTCAAAATTCATGTGACAGACAGAGGCCAAATAGTATGAATCCTATCACTGACGGTTATAGTTCGTGCTTAATGTCTATGAGCCTAGACGGTAGCTCCAACGATCAGCTCAAGACGCAATTTGTCACTAGGGAAGGCGTCTACAAGCTATTGACATTGGCCACCTATTCACGTCCTAACCGAATCGGCTATAACGTACAAACCAATAACTCTGTGCACGTGTCGTTCGTTACCTATTCAGATTCCAATGGCCATGATGACAGGATTTGTTTCAACATTGGACGTGAACTCTATGTTTTTTTTTACAAAGGAACTAAAAAGGTTAGGTGCATTGTTTAGTTTTTTTTGTAGATATCTATTTATATGAATTTTACTTATTTGGGTATTCTAAAATAATGATAAAATCATAAAAATATGATAGGTAGATACCTATTCTAAAAGTAATAGGAAATAAGATCCCCTTTGTAAATGAATACATACCACATACCTACGTTTAAAAATTAATGATGAATTTAATAAAAAAAAAAAGCATAAATAAAATAGAAAATATTTCACCCATACTATATTAAGTTGAAAAAAAATAAACATGGACAATTATTATTACAATTTTTAATTGTATTATTTATAACCGAAAAACCCTTAATAATAATATAGTGTACCTATGTATTGTTTTATTGGGAATATATTTATCAATATATATATAGGATATTTTGGATTTCTAATTATTATACTATATACGATGCACTAATAAAATGTATACTAAGAAAAGAAGATAGGTACCAAAATTAATTGAACCAAAATCCTAAGACCACAAATAAGAACTATAAACTAAAATAATACATTTTTTTTAAAAAAAAAAAACTGTATAAGTTACCTTTATAAGCTAATTTAGAAATTGCAGAAAAAAAATATAATTACTATGTTAAATCCTCGTATAACCTGTTGTTGAACTAATAAACAAATAACGACTAATATTTTTCAATTCGCCTACAGATTCATTTATTTTTTAAATAAGTATTAATTTACAATGGGGCTTATTTTTTCCTCTGTTTTTTGATACAAGAATTTTTTCCTTCAATTCATTCTAAGAGATATTTGACGAAATGTATAAATTGTAGGTACATTATGTATTTTATATTTAAACAAAAATATCATTAGGTATTAATACGTTTATTTTAAAAATTTTAATTTTATAATTTTAATGTGTATCTAAATATTTTTGTAATTTTTTGTTTTTGTAGGGAGCAGATTTAACCAAACCTATTGATAAAAAAATATACAAAGGAATCAGTCCAACTTGCCATGATTTTAATTCAGTTGCCATAAATGAAAATACAATACCATTAATTGTGGGGTTTTCAAATGGATTAATTCAACTTATTGATCCTATAAAAAAGGATATTAATATATTATTTAATGAAGAAGTGAGCATTAAATATTTTTAATAATTAAGTACACAAATTTTTTTAGTTTATCAATTTGTTTGTTTAATATGTAATAGCTATGGTATGCTAAACAAAATATATACATACAAATATATCTTTAAATTATCAATTATATTAAAATAGTTTTCATATTATAAACAGCATTTCGATAGTGAAAACAGGAGTAGCTGGTGCCACTTAGATATGATAAAAAAAAATATAATAATAAATCATTTGCTACATAAAAAATGATATTTTAAAGTTACTACAATAAATAATTGATGATTGGATGACCGGTTTTTTTGCTAGTTGAAATCTGTAAATTGTTATTATAGTAATCCTTTATTATCCGCAGAGGTTATAGAAGTTAGCGAAACCACTTTAAAAAACTAAATTTATTAGAAACACTGTACAACTATCGTATAAGTTATTAATTTATAAATATTTCCAACTCAACTATGGATACTGATGGATTACTATAATACTAACATTAAATAACACAAGTGTTAAAAAAAAATTGTTGGTGTTTAATTTATTTTTTCTTTTTTCTTTTAGAAAGTGATTGATAAAACGAAAATCACCTGTATTAAATGGGTCCCAAATTCTAAACATTTATTTCTTGTATCACATGTTAGTGGAAAATTATATTTGTACAATGAAACATTTAGTTGTTGTACAACTCCACCTATTTATCAACAAGTAAAAACTGGTGATGGTTTTACAATATACTCATGTAAAACCAAAAGCACACGAAATCCAATTTATAAATGGTTAATTGGTTTTGATAGTAATATCATTAATGAATTTGCCTTTTCTCCGTGCGGTCTTAACTTGGCAGTTGTAACCCAGGATGGATTTCTTAGAGTGTTTCACTATGATAAAATGGAATTGATTGGAATGGCACGTAGTTATTTTGGTGGATTTTTATGTGTTTGCTGGTCTCCTGATAGTCGGTAAATAATATTGTAATTAATGCATTTTAATATATATACTATTTTATAACTTTAAATTATTGCTTAGTATTATATTAATTTCTTTTTGTCTTAAATTATTTAATGGTTATCTACAATTATCTATGCTACCCTCTTATAGCTATCCTCTTATCTACCTCTGTCATGAATTGTTTCATGTACTCTCATATATCATATGTCTTTTATGAACTTTTAGTTAAACTTGTAATGCAGTAAATGTCTTATAATTTTTTTTTTATACTATACCATAGTTCTTGTTTTTTTTTTTTTATTATTCAGTATTTCTTTGTTATTGTTTCTTATCCATTTAATCTTAAGCATTTTTCATTAATGTTACATTTAAAAAGGCTCTAGTTTTCTTTCTTGTCAAAGTTTTTCTGCCATATAATGTATACTTATATGTACTTACTTACTTACTATATATACTTATTTAACTTTATATGCTACGTGTTATCCTTTCAGGAACCCTTATCCTTACCCATAAAATCACACTATTAGTTGTTAGTAGATTATTTTTATCTTGAAAAATCTTTTTGGTTTGTGTTATTCTGCCAACTACTTCTATTTTACTTTGGCTATCTTCTATTATTTTACTTGCATTTGTGATACACATTAACTATTATTATATTAATATAAGGTGAATATGGTTTGTTATGCTATGTAGTGTAATTTTTGGGGTAGGGAGGTAATCCTTTAGTTGCATTCTATATCTATTCCATAATATATTGTTTACATTAACTATAATTTGTGCAGGTCATCTTCTGTTTTTGTACAGAAGGAAATCTAAATATATTAATTGATACTTCAACTATTTTAACACTTTAACCTATTTTTTTTTTATCCAATTTTTGATTATTTTGGTAATAATCTTGAAGACATGAGTCCAAGATTCTGTATGCTTTGCACTTCAATATTCCTTTAAGTTTTGGAATCAATACCCAAAATCTCTAATAGGTTTTTCACATTTTTATTATCCATTAATTTTTATTATTTTTTAATATTCTTTTCATTTTGTTGTGGTTTATTTAATATTTTAATTTTCATGTACACCAAATCATTCCTTCCTTTTTTAGTAATTCTACTATTTTACATTATTGATACTTACCCTTTTTTTTTTATGTATTTTAGTTTTGTTACTGTTCATTTTTTTTATGTTTTGTAAAATTACACCTACATCATATTCATATTAAAAATTAATATATATTTTAGGTATATTGTTGTTGGTGGGGAAGATGATTTAGTTACAATATACAGTATTTCTGAACAGAGGGTGGTTGCTCGTTTACAAGGACACCATAGTTGGGTTAATGTTGTGGCTTTTGATCCTTATACAAGTTCTTTACCATCAATGGAATCATGTTTACCTGGGTGCTACCGACTTGGATCTGTGGGACAAGACACACAATTATGTTTATGGGATATTACTGATGACATATTACGCCATATGACATTAACTCCAGCAACACCTAAACAAAATGGAGTTGTTCATTATACATCAAAGCATAATGGAAATTCTAGTAATGAAAAAAAACAAACTCAAGATCCCATGCGACTAATTGGTACAGCTGCTTGTCCGCGATTTGATCAGTGCCCACTTCTTGAACCATTAATTTGTAAAAAAATTGCTCATGATCGGTTAACTGCCCTAGTATTTCGTGAAGATTGTTTTGTAGCAGCTTGTCAAAATGGATATGTTTACACTTGGGCTCGTCCAGGAACAATTGTTAGTATATATTTTATTATATAATTTAGTGAACACCATGTTCTATTAATTTGTTTATTTTTCAGACTAGTTTGAATGCACATTTAGTATCAGATCCAAACTCATTAATTTCATCATTAGAATTATCTTCATCAAATTCAGCATCAATAGTGTAATGCATATTTTTTTATATTATATCATTCAAGATGTTAATAACATTTTTAGTTTTAACTAACAACAAAAGTGATAAATTGACAAGCAAAAGGTGATAATTAAAAAAAAAAAAAAAAACCAGTTCAAATAAATACTTATTAATTATTTTAGACTACTGTTAGGAAAACATTTCAACATTTATTGAATTTAAAAAAAAAAAACAAATAGGCTGTGATCATTTTTTTAATACTATGAGCTAATTAAGATATTGTTTTAAAATACTTTGAAACAATTTAAACAAAAACAATAATTTTATAGCTTTATATATATTTAATTATATATAAATATATTTTTATATGATAATTACATTTTAGACTTCTAAAAAATTAAAAAATGTTACATTTAAAATGTATTGTTTCAATACATTTGTATATATACTATTAATCCGATCAAAATTAAATAGTTATGTTACATAATGCATATGATAACTTTTTTTTTTTAGTCTTTAATTTTAGATAATTTTGATGACTGATAAATAAAATAATATCATAAGCAAATTTCCATAATATTAATGTAATAATATATAAAATAAAATATTTATAGGGACCCACCAATTTAAATAAAATATAAAACTATAACAATTTATATTATGGCTGAGATATTGATACTTAATTGTTTTTATATACATATTATAGAATAACCCATATTATATTAATTTTAATTTTATTTTTAATAAATCTAATTCAAAATATATTTCTATGTGACACTAGTCATCAGAATACAAATAATTGTATGTTTTCATTTTTGTGAAATAAGGGTACTCTGTCTTGATTTTAATTTATACATTTGTTATTGTAAAATGATAAATAGTTTTAATGATTACAATTTATTTTTTTTTTTTTTATTAGTTTTCTAAGTAATTTTTTTCAAGGGTTAATAGAATTTTTAATTATTTGATAATTTTTTGGTTTGAAAAGAATTATTTCATTTTTTACATGTATACAATGGACATATTTTAATGTACAATTTAATTTTATTATTTTAACTAACTATATTTGTACAATTTGATTTTAAAACTTAAATGTATAATATATTATACTTTTTTATATTGTATTGCTCTTAAAATTTGTATCTATTGTCATTATTTTTTTAAAATATTTTACTATTAGTTTTTAATAGAAATAAACATTTTATACATCAAATTGTAATATAGAATATTTTCTTGGTTATTTATTTATTTAATACACTCAGGGCATAAGTACAGTAATTATTATGGCTCAGAAGTTATAGGAGTTGTATATTTTTCTATATGCTCTGGATTTATAGCAGATCAAGCTAGAAATACTCGAGAAAGATTATACAATGGAAAATTTAAAATGCATATTTTGCATATTTCGTTAATTTAAAAAAAAAATGCATATTTAATATTAGCTATAAAAAAAAATGATTTTCTTTTGCTTTCTTAACCAATGTATTTTAAATAATATTGAATATAAAACTCAATATTATTTTACATAATTATTTATTGTTATTTCCTATTGTCTCAGTCTATTATTAATTTAATCAATTAGAGCGACTGATATCTAATCTTTTTTGTGCATATTAATAATAACATATATTTTCAAATAATAAACTTTGAATAATATTTTACACATTTATTACATTGTTTATATATTTTACAATTTTTTGCGTAATGCATATTTTGCCTTTTTTAGCTTCTATAACTACAGAGTCCTAGTAATTATTATAATACATTTGATAGGTATTAAAGATATGATAATTACAATAATTATGAGTAAACAAAATTAGAACATAATAGTACTAATTCATAATACCGCTTGAGAGGAATGAAAAATGTTTACATTATTTTTTAGATTGATTCAGGAAGCTCAAGCTATATTGATAGGTGAAATAAACCATATATAGTGTTCTGTGTTTTAATATAAAAAAAAGTTGACTGAGATCTGGAATTGAATGAAGGAACTGATATATCAGTTAGGCTAAGGAGGATACTGTCACTAATTGATCCATGTAATATTTTATAATTAAAAATTATGTTTAAAAGAACTCAATGTGTTAAATACTTAATACTAAATGAATAATTTATTACTTTGTTTATAAGATAAGAATAGTGGGTTGTAGTATTGTTCTGTTTCTAGAAATGGGAATGTGCTGGGGGCATTAACTTATAATGTTTTACTGATACCTATTCATTTTTAAGTTCCTACAATACTAAATGATGTACAAAATTAAAATGCCAAACAGTAATAATATAAAGTGCAAGATGTATTTTGATTTATTTTCAAAAATTGGAAATTAAAGTAGATACCTATTTTAAAAATGTTTACATTGTTACAGCTAAGAAATATAGGCTCCATGTACAGTCAAGAGCTGAAGGACTTAAATACCCAAATTGTTTTTGCCTCAACATAATAACACACACAAAAAAAAAAATTAAAACAGAAGTAAAACTGGTGATAGACATACCACCATTGTAAGTGAGATTTTGAGAATGTAGGATATGAGATAATTCAATTTATTCATAGATATTGAATAATATTTGTATATTATCATTTTAATGTTATTCCTACAGACATTCCCATCATTTTCAGCTTCTTTTAAAAACTCACATATATGTATATATAATATCTATACTATAATAACTCTTACAGCAAATGGATGTAAATGTGATTACTACAATCATCCTATATATATCCTAGGATTTTAGTAGAACTATCTGCTATATATCCTAGAATTTCCCAGGGCATCCATTGAACATTCTTCAATGATACTGCCTATAAAAACCCTCAGGATATCCCACACAGGATTAAAAATATTGATCGCATTCTATTCATGTTCTATAAATATCCTGTTAATAACCTGAGTGAGTCCCAAGTATTCCCAAAAGTATATTAAAAAACTTTCTGGCTTATAAGATCTATTGGCCATATTTTCAACTTTAACAATTTTTTAACGCAGTAAACTCCGACTAATGAAGGACATATATAGGACACATATGAAGGTGTTATATATAAATCTTGTTTTTTTAAAAATTGTCTTCCATAATGATAACAAGACATTTTTAATTGATCAGTTAATTATATTTTCAACAACAATAATTTCTTCATTAGAAAGTACACAGCATTTATTTTTTTTACTCTTTGCCACTATTGTAAAATTACTGTTATAAAACATTAAACTTATGTTGTTATGGAAGAGGCCAAACAACGGGAAAGTAATAGGTATCAAATAAGATCATCCCAATATTGTACTAAACACATCCTGTGTATAAATGCTCAATCGACGTCCTAACTATGTCCCATAGAAAATAAAAAATATTCCTGGCCCTAAAATCAAATTTTTACTATCCTGATAACTCAGGACATTTCAAGGCTCTTGACAGAACCATCCAGTAGTAGTCCCGGATAAATTTGTGCTGTTAGAGAAGTACCTATACGTTAACGTATATAACAACTTTGTTGCCTACAATTATTTTGCCAACCATCATAAAAATTACAAATGATGAACTACTATCGTACAAAACACATACACACAGCACAAACTTAGGAATAGTTTTGAGATATGACTTATAACCTATTATAACTGTGGGTAATGATGTTTTCTTGTGAATAAGTAGGAATAGTCGTGACATTTGCCATCGTTTGGTTAGGTTAGGGTAGGTTATCGTTTAAATATCGCATGAAAATATTCGAGCATTTTTACAAGCATATTCCGAAAAAAAAAATAAAAACATTTTTTATTAATACCTACACTGAATCTAGGAAATAATTACATTTGTACGTGGGTATAATACGACTAAATAATATTGTTTATCTGCGTTGTTGAATGAGACATTTTTTTCATTAATATATACCTATATATTGATATATACGATATATATATTGAAATATATATATATGATAATATATTAATATATATTGGTAGATACCAATATCGTATGAATATTAAAAATTGGTTTTTAAATGAAATACATTATTTTTAAAACTAACATATTAATAAATTAAAATATAGTAATAAACGTGGTAAAATGTTCAACATATTTAAGCCATTTTTTAGCTTTTATAGACATTTAAATTATGCTAGTTTTTCATATATCTAATATTTATTTGGTAGGTTCTGTAGATAAAATTATTAAACCAAACAGAAATGCTTGAAGATTTAACAGTAAGTTCATTATAAGTTGTATTTAGTAGTCAACAATAAAAAGTTGAGTTTAATGTAAGTACAAAGTATTTTTTTTTGTTATAAGAATTTAATATCAAGTATTTTGACGAAAATCCTTAATATAACGGCCTTTTAAAACATGTATATCCTAATTCCCTTCAGAATCGTTTTTGGTTAGCAATGATTAATCGTTGCATTCTAAAATACATTAAATTCCACTCTCTATATCCTACTTTCCCAACTTCTCACCAACAATATAGTAGCCCACCCGTGGTGTGAATTATGTCCGCCTTTTTTTTTTTTTTTAGTTGTGTTATCAAATTTTGACAAAAATCGTGAATATTACAGCCTTTTAAAACGTGTATTACTGAATTTCGCTCCAAATCGTTTTTCGTTAACAAATCTACAAATATTAATTAAATAACTTAATATAATACTTAATAATTGTATGTATAACTAATACTATAATAATACCTATCTATACCTATCATATTATATTCTCAACTTGTTAGGTACATTACCCTAATTGTCGACATCATTATTTATACTGCATCCGAAATTGAAAATTATATTATTTATAATATATATTATATTATTAATATAGTTATAAACTAATGAATAAGTGTAAAATTAGAGAAAAAATTATGCGTCGTATTCGGGATTCGAACTCGAGACTGTCAGGTGGCAATGTACCGTGAACTTCACTACGCCGATATACTTACAGTACGCGTAATTACTTCTAGGTAAAGATAATTCGGTCGGGATTAGTTGTTTTAATCATTTTTGTTCACATATTTTGAATATTTTAATGATAATCAGTGCATAAATGCATGCATATTTCGTACGTTTTTAGTGCATATAATTCCGCGCCCTAGTGGTCTCATCTATACAAAGTATCAGCGTGAAACATGAAACCTCCAAACAAATTTCAACGTTTATGATATTATTTTAAATAAAATGGGTATGAATTTTGTATTTTAATACCCCCCAATGTATTGCATATTATGACCTATTGAAAATGTAAATTAAAGCCATCTTATTGAATAGTAAATGAGATCAAAGATACACATTAACTCCGGTAAAGGTGGTAGAGAACGCGTCCACACAAATACCCGAGCGACCGGAGAATAATTGTTTGACCAATTTCCATAAAAGATCTTATGGATGTTGATGGAGTGTTTAAGTATTCCATGAAGCGATCGTGATGTGGCGATACGAATGAGGCATTGGGAGAATGATTGTAAATAGATATTAGGCCGTTCCCGGTGGTGGTGCTAAACCGGGACAACCCGCGACGGAGTAGGAGCAAGCCCCAAACTCTCCGCCTATTAATAAAAAATTAGTTTAACATTAGAACCCCTCGATGAGGGGTGTACCAGATGTTAAGCTGATAAGAACAGATACTACACTTTGATCTTAGCCGATAGGCCGAGAAGCGATACCGAAGACTCTCAAACTGCAGATACTTATACTGAAATCCGCAATCCTAACAATGACAGAAAAAAAATTTGAGTGACTCCGAAAATTTGAAAATTTCGATTTTTTTTGAATATCACTCATTTACATTCACATATAATCGCGTTCAAATAGCATGTTAAAAAAGTTCACGACCTTGTTTAAAGCCCAAACCGATCGCCACACTACAAGAGAGTTCACCACGTCAATGTACAACATCAAAAAGCGCCATCTACCGCCAAAATCCAACGGTTTACGCCTGTAGTTTTCGAATACGCATTCACTAAACGTAGTAACAATACTTGTTCACGTTCAGTACATATCGGGTATATAAGTATATTTAAATTTACCTAGGTGATTGTATCGTACGAAATAAATGGGTGATTTAAAAATAATGCGTAACTATTACTGAACGAGAAATAATTGGTACCTAGTAACAATGTCATAAAAAACAACCGTGATTGCCGACTAATTCACCGACAATTTTGAATCATCATTATTGTATATGTCTTGATTTAAATAATTTATTATAATAACTGCAAATTAAAAATTTAAGCTTGATGAACTTTTACCAATCATTTTTTTACAGGTAAATATGTTTTTACCGAAAAAATTAGCATTTGATACCTCAAATTTAACGTCTTAACGAGGTGAATTTTCATAAAATATCATTAGAATGGAATAATTGTAGTCTTGGGATTGTTGATTAGAAAGAATTTCCACCTAGTGGTTAGTATTTTATAATTTCCCGTTTTTAGTAAAACTCCCCTGCACTGTAAAAAAAAAAAAAATAACCAACGACCAATATGGCAGTATAATTTGTACTTTTGTTTTCGTATTTGAACCGACAGCAGTGAGGAATCTATTTTCACAATAGGTACTTCCCTACCGAGGAAGATAAATGGAATTCTTAAGATTTAGTTGAAAATTCAATTTCCACTTTATCGTCTCGATCAGACTGGCAAAAATTGTATTGCTTTTTTTTTTACTTACTATTAATAAAAACTTTTTACTATTTTGTTTTCTGATTTTCAAGGAATTGTAATGGGTATGCTATAAAATCACTAATATCAGAACCATTGACTGTATAATATGTGGCTGGATATTTCTCACAATAACCTATACAGAAATCAACGTGACATTTTCGAAAAAATGACCGACTTTTAATTAACTACGTGTGCAATGGATTATATATTTTGCGGTACCTATTATATTATAGAGTGGGATAATGTAATATTATAGTACTATAATATTAATTAGTGTTTAATGTCCTTTCGTTAGTCGATTTTTATCTGCAGAATTGGTGGCGTGAAGTTTTGTTTTCGTGTAAAGCAGTTCCGGTGAAATAAAATTGCAAAATAACAGACGAACCAAATCCGTAAATAAAGCTATTCGACGTTACTATTACCCAGTTTACATTCAGCCCACTTCCGTGGCAGTGAACAGGGAAGTGGGCATGAAAATGGGCAGCGCGAGTATGTGAACACGTCACTCGCGCTGATCACGCTCCTCGCACTGACGCTGCCCGACGCTCCCGTCAAGAGCGGTAAACTGAGCGGCGCGAGCAGCAAACATAACCGGCAATTGCTGCTCGCGCTGCTATAATTAGCGGGGCAATGTAAACACACACTGCCGTCGACGCTGTCACGGAAGTATTTTGAGGTGTAAATACGGCAGCAATACGAGTAGCAATGGCAGCGGCTGAACGTAAACTGGGTATATACTTTACGTAAAAGACTAACTAGGTATATACTTAGTATTTTTCGCCTGACGACAAGTATTACTGCACACGTACGCCCACCCGACTATAATTTAGCTCACGAAGCAGTTACTTCATAAAATAAGTACCTACTACCCAGTTTATAATGGTTATGAATTATTTCACTATATCTTTTTTTTTTTTTTTTTCAAATATATAAATAATTGTACGTGCCTACCAATTTTAGCTGCGTATACGCGTTCTGTCCCCTCCCAATAAGAATATAGCGTATTGTGCACACGGTGGAATGAAGTATGTGAAAATAATATCACTGTAAACTGTAAACTGTGGCCGACCACGACATAAACGAGCCACCAGGACGTCGACCGGTTACCAGTATGTTGTTAATGTGCGTGCGGTACAGATTCATTCTGAATAAAAAAACGGTGATTTCTGTACAGGTTATCGAGAAAAAGATTCGGCCGCGTATTATGCGGTCAATGGTTCTGGTATTAATGATTGTATAGCATATCTATCAGGAAAAACAGAAAATAAAGTATCATTAATCGTTGAATAAATGGATGTTTTGTGTGAAAAACAAAAAAACCAGCGTAAGGAAATCTAATTAGAATTTTGTATCTGTGCGTCCGACGTCAATAAATTAAATGTTTTTTCTTTGTTTTACTACTTGTGTTGTTAGCTACCGACCACACGGGCGAGCTACGGATACTCGCGATATATTAGGAAAATATACCCACTGTATGTGAAATAGGTAGGTACTTACCTAGATAATTACTACATCAGGAAATTATCTTTGAAACCCCAATTATGTCTAAATTATTCTGTAGTTAACACGAATCCTGTATCGCAAGAACACTAAACCATTATAAAATAATATTAGATATTATTGAAATAAAATGGGCATTTTCTGCGAGTGTAACTGTAGACCATAGACCGTATAACCAATAACCATAGACGTACTATCTATATAGTATAATATATGTATATTCTCATTCTATGATAGGTACTAAGGTCTTTGAATATAACACCACTGCTCCGAATATTAACAGCCACTATATAATATTACTCCGATACTTTATTATTACTGTCACCATAGGCGTGCACAGGGAGTACGGATGAGATTAAAAACAGAGAATAGGGGGCTACGTCCCCGGGGTTCAAAAAAATCGTATTATGAGTGAAATCAATTAATTTTTGCGAAATATGTAGGCACGTTTTATGTTGTAGATTTTTAATGTCCAATTTTAATTTTAATTAAAAAACGCATTTTCGATTCAACAATCGGTAAGACATTTTATTATTTTTAGATATATTTTTTATCGGAGTTTTGCGAGTTTAAAATAATTTTCAGGGGCGCTAGTGGCAACCTTCTGCATACCTTGAAAAAGAGGCCTATACGCACGCCTATGACTGTCACATACACTGTCAATACAAGTAGTTACTCATATAATATGAATACAAATTCATAAATACTTACTGACCTACATTGGCATCAAGACCCATCGAGACTATAGTAACAGTTTTATTAGATGCACGGGTCAAGACTAATATAATTTACTTATGATTAATAATCACAATAATTTATTATAGGCAGTAGGACCTACACGTAATATGATGTAATATGATATTATTTGATGTATACAATCGCAATTAAAATATTTTATGAACGATAATTTTATAATTAATTATGCGAAATTGTAGGTATGTTAACTCAGAATTTATCATTGGTAATATTGGCGTGTTGCAACTTTTCTGAAAGCACAAGTTGTCTAGATGTTACATTAAACAGGTCATTTTTTGATTTTCGACATCATTTTTTTAAATAAAAAGCACTTAAGTGGGAAAAAACGTAAGAAAACATACAATTTTACGATTTCATTATTTTATAAAAGCACGGACGACTTTTTCTACCAGAAAAATTATTCAATCGAAAAATCACAAAATACCTTTTGTATTGTCTTTTGACTTACTTTTTTATGGTATTATTGCCAAAACTTGAGTCACTTTTAGTTTTTAAGGAACTTTAATTTTTAGAAGATTTTTGCTGTGATTCGATTATAAATACACGTAGAGACTTGAAACTTAGTAATAATACTCATTTCGGACTTATTTAGACGTGGTAAAATGTCAAATTTTTTTTTTAATAAGCGTTTTAAAATCAAATTTAAACGAAAATCACAAAAAAAAATACGGCACTTCAAATTATGTATTACCAAATCGCGTTCGGAATCGTCTTTCGTCAAGTAATGGTTTATCATTGTTTATAGATATAAATGAAATAACCTTATGTATCCTACCTTCCCAACTTCTCACCTACAACAGTGGCCGCTCCCATCAACAGTATCGGCTCTTTTTTCATACTGACAATGAAAAAAACCTTATTTTAAAACTTGTGCACAATGACACGGGATTTGAGTATGGAAGCGAGTCTGGATTATACTTCTGTACCTGAGAGGCAGAAGTGACCAAGTTTATTTTTATTAATATTGATATCATGAACATTAGAGTTTTCTAATGCATTCTAATGTTCATGCTTGAGATTAATATTATGTTGTTTTCCTAATATCCAATGGTGAAATTTTGTCGCGCGTTATTTTACCTATTACCATTTTAGTCATACGACGCGTATTTACAGATATACTGATAAGTAGGTACTGAATTTAGTTCGGTGGTTACATTAAGAACCAAGTCCAATTATAAATGCTGATTTATAAATTATGATCTACGTCTTATGATAGAACTTAGGCCGTTTTACTAAATTTGTCTTAAATAAGCCATAATTTAAAATAAACCTCATCGTTATAACTTTAAAACCTAATTCACACCATCAGTTAAAGTAAAATAAAATCATGTGAAAAATGGTTGTTTGCTTCTCCTAAAGTTACAAAATGAACTTAGTCCCGTCTGCCTTTCAGGTTTTGATTTTAAGTATTTTTTTATACAATGGGATACAAATGGGATACGGTGTTATTTCATGTCTGTGGACCTGGTAACAAAAAATCTTATCAATTTTTGAAACTGTCCAAAATTATTATCAGACTTTTTGGTCTTACTGTACATATGATAATAAATACATAATTGAAAACGTATTCTTATCTATGACAATTAACAATCTACCGAAAAATCAATGATTAAATTTTACATTTTAAAATAATTAATTCACTACCACCTATATTATAATTTAAAATCAAATATTCGTACCTAATTATACAAATGAAAATCTAAAACCAAATCAAATATCTAATAATTATTATTATGAATTGAAAAACATACATCTTAATTATTATTTTTTAACAATGTTTGGTATTCATATTAATAAATTAAAATTAAAGAAAATGATAATTCAAAATAAATTTCTAATTAAATTGTTTTGCATGTTCATTTTCGGTGTTATAATCTTGTATATTATCAAGTTTAGTTTCAATAATAATAATGAATTTGTAAAAGGTAGGGATATTTTGGAACAAGTAATTTTAGCTGCTCAATATGGTGGAATTCAAGTTGTAGCAATACATAATGAACACCTTGTTAGTGCCAAATCAAAAGGCAAAACAATGGAAGGTGCAAATGATCCAGTTACTAACGCTGATTACACATCGCATTGCGCTATGTATTATCTTTTGAAAAAGAAATTACCAAACATTAAAGTATTTATAATTAATAGTTTTTGTATTTTCAAGTATTGGTTTAAAACATACACCGTTTGTTTATAAATAATAGATTATATCGGAAGAAGAATTATCTGAAAATGACTGTCAAAAGTTGAATATAAGAGAATTAACAAACTATAAAAATGAAAATTTAATAGATATTGAAGATGAATTTGAGAAAAAATATATAACTATATGGATAGATCCGTTGGATGCTACACAAGAATTCACTGGTAAATAAAAAAGTTATTACAACATTTCAACTCTTAAATAATTTTAATGATATTTATTTTAGTTTAACAGTAAAATTCATGGTCTGGAATACCTAACCTAACCTATTCATTTTAAAAATGAATGCATTCACAATTCATTCCACATTCATCAAAAATGACTACCTAAATTGAATTTAAATTAAATATTGGAAACAAATGCTGTTTACCTCCCAATAAATTTTTTTTTCAAAATGTGTATTTTTACATGCTTAATTGATGGTACTTTTAAAAATGTCGCTCAAACTTCATTTGGAAGTTATGGTCAAAAAACTTCAAAATGCTTGATTTTTCTAAAAATTATGTTTTTAAGTTTAAAATATCAACAATTTGTATTTTTTGGAATTTTTTTTAGAATTGGTAGTAATTATATGATTAATATTTTGGTGAAATTAGAATTCACCTATCATACTTACTTTTTATGTTATTTAATAAACCACATAAAACCTAATTATAATGCTATTTCAATTATTGAAAATGTTAAGCATATAGTTACTATAATTTTTAAAAAAAAATTGTAAATTTGGTATTTTAAACTCAAAAACATGATTTTTAGAAAAACCAAGTATTTTAAAGTTCTTAGACTATAAAAATAAAATGAAGTTTAAGCGACTTTTTTTGAAAGTACCATCAAATTAGGCATGCAAAAACACACATTTCAGAAAAAAATCCGAAAATTTGTTTGGGAGCAAAACTGTATTTATGCCAAATATTGTTATATAGAGTCAGCCGGCTTGTAGGCGGTACAAGCTGTGCACTTGTACATAGCCCTGCGCTTTTAGTGAATTGGTGTTTAGTTGCAATCGTAGCTAAATAGATAGGTATTTTAAAGATTATTTAGGAAAATATAAATTAAAATTAATGAACTAAGAAAAATTGTATTGTAAAGATTCACCTATGAATATAGTGTTCTCATGGTATAAAAAGATGAAAAAGTAATAAAAACTTATTGAGGCATCGCAAAAAGGACTGCACAAAGTCTCAATATTTTCTAAACCGCTCTTGTGTAGATTGAAATTATCACCTTTGACCAGTATCCCCATTATTATCACTCATTTTTATTTTATATAGATATTGTAATTTTGTAATTTAATATGACATATGATTATTTTTATATTTATTTACATTACTTAATTAATTTATTGAGGTAATCAATTACCAAAAAATTAGGCGATAACATATATCTATAGAACAGAAAAATTAAATGTTTAACACAAATTTATCATAACGTTCTTAAGACTTTGAAATTCAAATTACGTATTGGTAAATTTATAATTTATCAAATATTAAAAGAACACAATTCTTAAGATGACCCTAATTGGTGACACAAGCTTAATTTCTAAATTGATAACTAGTTTTTTTATACCATCTGAACTGTATAAATTAACACATTGAAACTAAACACATTTTATGTAGTGACACTATTTTATTATTTATTAATATAATAATAATAATAAAGTTACTAATTTAAACCAGTGGCCAAACTTGTGGGCCACATCTATTTATGTCTTTTTCATATGGCTTGCTCCACAATCATATTATAATTCATTATTTGTCTATACTTCTTCTTAAACTGTATACATTCTATAAAAAATGAACTTTAATTATTGTGTTAACTATATTCCTATTGAGCTTCAAATAAAAATATTAGATTTACAGTCACAGTATAATTCTCAATCTCAAAATTCATTCAAACAATTGATTTTATCTATTCATTTTTCGGATTTTACTCAATTATTTATAAAATTAGAAATATAATTGCAAAATATTATAGTTTGTTTCAATCTTCATATGTGTATGAACAGGACTTTTCTCATTTGAAAAAACTCGAAAACCCACACTCATCACTTTTAACAGATGACCACATTCACTATGTGTAATATTCTACCATTACAAATTAAGTTTGAAATAAGATGAATAAGAAAATGAATAAGAAATTGTTTACTAATTGTCCAACCCTTTCCACAAACCTTTTGAATTTTGAATTTTATTTGAGAGCCTACAAAAGTGTTGATCACCGATTTAAAGAATAAACCAGTTTTTGGTATGAGTGCATTATTACATTAAATTTACATTCACATACATTAGTAAAATGATTGCTTTCTTGATCATAATTCATAGTTTATAAACTAAATTGCTCATGAATGCATTCATTTGAATTTATTCGTTCCAAACCTTACAATAATTTGTATAACAATTATATGTATAATTGTTTTAGAAAGCTTAACACAATATGTTACAACAATGGTTTGTGTTGCATACAAGGGTAAACCTATCATGGGAGTAATACATGAACCATTTAAATTGAAAACAACATGGGCTTGGCTCTCTAAGTCAAGATCAGATAATTTCAATAACATCAAAGTAAGTAAATTATAATTAATTTATGTACATATTATATAACCTATTGTGAGTAAATTGTATATAAATCTCAAACATTTGGATTATTGGAAGTTGCATATTTGTTTTGCAGTTTGTTATTAGGTACAAAATAAATGTTCCAGTATTCTTTAACTTGTTAAAAAAAAGTCAACAAAGTACAGTGTGGTGTTAATATAAATCTATAAGTGAATGGTTCAAATTTGACTCAAATATATGTAAGGTTTTAATATTTTGAAGCATGATATTATGGTACAGTAGATGTATGCTCAACTGTGTCATTATTTTTGCTACATCCAAGATAAATGGCAATATAATTATCATGTTCTACTTTTTACTATTAAATGTAACTGTCGAGCCAATACAATGGATAAAATACCAATATACCCAAAAATTAATAATTTAAATTGATGTAATAATATTTGAGATATTTATAATATAAAAACAAATATATTTTGTAATCATTTTTTGTATTACTTGTATAATGTATACAACTTAATATAATATATTTTTTAACTTATTAGGTACCGAACAAAAAGTCAATTGTAGTTTCAAGATCACACAAAGGGGATATAATGAATCTTCTAAAACAAAGATTATATGGAGTGCCAGTTGTGACAGCCGGAGGTGCTGGTTATAAAGTTTTACAAGTGTTATTTGGAAATATGTCTGCTTATATTCATACAACTAACATAAAAAAATGGGATATTTGTGCTGGGCATGCCTTATTAAATAGTGTTGGAGGTAAAATGACATCCTTAAATAATGAAGATATTACATATGAAAAGTACACGAGCATGATGCATGTTGGAGGAATCATTGCATCTGTATACAACCATTTATATTATGTCAACTCTCTTAATAATTTACAAAATGTTTAAAGAATAAATGAAGTTAATTTTATTTACTTCATAAGTAAAACTTAAAAAGTTAATGTAATTAACTAATTTGACTATAATTTAATATAATATTTGTGTAAATAATGTGTAAATATTTTAAATACATTTTTTTAAATTTACATAAAGTATTTTATTGATTTTAAATATAGGTAAAGGCATTCATTTTTCAAACTGATAAAAATAAAATACTAAAATAACTATTTTCATTTATTACATCAAGGTAATATTTTAATATTAGTTTTTCTTTGTATCATGCTTGAATATTGCTAATTTACACTAAATCTTCACTCCTCAGATTTTTAACACAATCAGTTTTTACTTTAAAAGGTAGATAAATCAAATAATGGCAATACTCTAAAGACTAAAACTCAGCTTAAGCCAATGTTTGAAAAAAATTGGCTATATTGTCAAATTTGAATATAATATAAAATTTAGAATTCGGGTTTTTTCTGTTATATGTATGTATTATTTATTTGATTCTGGGTGGACAATACCTTTTGTATTTATTTTTAGTTTTGTAGACTACTTTTTTCAGACACACTAGAATGTTGAAAAAGCAACACCTTGCCATCAGTCATAATTTGTTACTACTAAAGGTTTAACTCGCAGTTAGTGTAAATATAAATAAATTTACCAGAGTATACTTCCAGTATATTTAAAAATTAGTTATTTATTTTGTTAAATACTATTGGGCAATACTTAAACATTATGTTTATATTATTTTGCTTATCATATGACTTCAGGTGTCTAGACTCTAGATGATACACATGAAACCTAACCTACACAACTAATGAATGACCAGAAATAACAACATAAAGGTTTGGATCACGGTGGATTAATCCCCCTTGGTTTTGATATCAAAGGCATATAAATAAAAACAAAATAATATTTTATCTAAAAAAGGAAACATTCATATTATGAAACACTTTCATACATTTATATAATGACTAAAAAATAGGTACCTAGGTACCTAACAATATAATAAACATTAATTTATAATATGGGGAGGAGAATACATTTTTTTCGGTCTGTAATATGATAGAAACCTTTATAATAAACCATTTTGCATTTATACAGTGTTTCAGCATAGATACTACTGTTACCTATATTGTATTCTATAAAAAAAATAATCAAAATAAATTTTAATTGAATGAATAACTAAAAGAAATTAGTCTTGTTTGTTTTAAACAGTTATTATTATCATGAATTAAGATTTGATGTATCTTAATTTGTAGTTATTATTATTATTAATACTTATAAGTACAAATTAAATTTGAATTGTAAGTAAGTGATTCAAATTATTGCAAGTTTTATAGTTGTACTATCTACCTAACTACCTATAAAATATAATATAAAGTATAAAGTATGATTTAATTATACTTTTCCATAAGGTAAATATCATTGTATTTTTTGTGTGTATATCTGTTTCATTTTTGTAAATTATCACTCATACTATACATACCACAGAATTGTTGTTTTTTTTTTTGCAATGATTTATTATAAAAAAAATAGTGCATAAAGTACCTATATAAATTAAATTACCCTAAATACACTGCCTTCCCAAATACCCTTCTATAACAGTGGCCTACTCATGAACAGTATCAACTTTTTAAAAATATAATCTAATAATTTACCTATTTTTTATTTAATAAAAATAATAACAATAGCTAACATTACATTAACTTTTAACTTCCCTAGTATTCCATAACATAAAACCTAATATTTTAAACGTTTTATTGATGACTATATTGGAGAAAGACTGCAGAATATTTGTGAAGTGAAGACCTAAATTCATCCCCAATTGATTCAATACAGATAATGAAAATACCATTAATTCAATGATTATAAATCAAAAATCAAAAACATATTTTGTTTAGTGAAAGAAATAATATTACATTTATTAATATTTACTGGTAAGAAGTTTTGATGATACCAAAAGCTAAACTTATCAAGATTTAATTGAAGATTATTTGCATAATCTTGATTTCATAGGTAGGTACATTAAATACTTTAGTATTACAATGCAAAGTTCTTAACTAGACTTATTTAGTGCATTTGCATATGTTAAATAAGTCATTAATATATTTGAAAAGAAAAGAAAGAATTCTAATGAAAAATTGTTTAACTATTTAAAAAATGCATGTGTGATCTTCAAAGAGATATAATTTTGATGTATTCAATCCAGAGGAGTTTTACAGAGCTGCCTAGTAAGAATAATAAGAATTAATGTTTTTGTATAAATAGGTAGGTGAGGAAAGAGTCAAAAAGTCCGGCCGGAATAACATTGTTTTTCTGTAAAATAAAGTTCTTTGTTATTTTTGGTGTTCAAGTTTACTTTGCATAATATATCTCTTAATGTATTGACCCAAGTTAGTGTTAACCCAGTTAGTGCGTGAGGTATGTCGGCGTAGACGACAAAATAGTGTTCAACGTGAGGTTCGAATCCACGATATTAGAAGTACTTAAGTACCTCTTATATTTCTTTCAAGTGGACCGCATGGGATACAGTGACGGACAAGGGTGATCGTCTCCTCCTTGGGCGATATTTTTATATAATTCTTATATTTTATAATTATTTATATATATATATATATATATATATATATTTTAATAAAATTAAACTTCTTTGAACAACTTCTGGATCCGATACTGATGGGACAATACATACCTATTTTACACATTTATCAAAATTCATTTTCGTTAAAATTTTAAATTTAAGTGCTTATAAAAAAAAATTGATACATTACATTGAACTTTTCCTATTAACTGCAACTTACCAGAACAATTTTAATCATATAAAAGTATAAAACCAAATAAAGTTCAAAAAAATCTAAAATTTCAAACAGCTATAATAACTGTTAATTATTGCCAGTATGTTTTGAAAATTGTGTCATGTCTGGAAAGAGTTATGCCTACACATATAACTATATAAGAGACTATGACTATACCCATATTATATAAGTATTCAATGAAAACTTTACGATTATATTTCACTGAATTAAAAAAAAATATATAAGAGGGAACAGTTGATCAGGTTACAGAATGGATACGTAGCACAAAAAGGCCAAGAAGACGTCCTAGACAAAGATGACAGGATAAAGTCAAGGACCTAGAAGAACTTATAATTGAGAACGGAGTAAAACGTGCTAAAGAAAAAAATTGATGGAGACCAGTAGTTGTTGCAGTAATAGACCTAAATGATTTTTAAAATGTCGAAGAAGAAAAAACAAAATAAAATAGGTATAACAAACCGTTATTATTTAAATGTGTAAGTTAAAAGTTTTCTAGGCGTTTTTTCTAGGGTTATCCCTATAATTAAGAGTTTAAAAATACCTACTACAGAGAAAATAAAAAAATAACCTATTGCACCAACGAGACAAACATTTTTACTAGAAACAATCGCACCTAAAGTTGATGATCAGAGCAAGATTTTTGGTACCTACTACAAAAAGAGTTTACATACAAAAAAACAATATAGAAACACATATATCCCAATACAATCGTAGTAGTTAGTATTATAATAAAATCTTAAACAAACATTACCTGTCTATTATGCAAGCAAAGCAAAAAGTTAACTTGCAGTAGGTAGTGTATTAGTAATCTTTGTTTTCAAACATTATTAATTACTAAATTATGTTTAAAAATTGATGTGGCAGGCAAACGTCCATCGGTTAGGTTGAGTTAAATAATTAAAAGGAACGTTATAGTCTCTAATATTTTATTTTTCAAATTCGAGAATTGCAAAAAAATTCATGTAGACATCAACAGAGAAGTCAATAGATTTTTAAGACAAAAGCAAAGGCGGATGAAGGTTGACAATTGGTCAAATAACTACTTTATTATAATTTTTTTAAAATAAATAAATTATACTTACTTAGCTATATGTACGAATCAAAATTATAATTGTATTTTTTCTGAAAAAATTAGCCCTCCTTCATTTTAGGTTTCTACGTCCACACCTGGGTTTTAGTGGGAGATTATAGATGCTTGATTTTTAGTTTTGAGGGAGATTTAGAAAAATAATTTGCCTAGCAGGGGTCTGAGTAGGAAAAATCATTTATTTAATTTTAATTTTATTAGGTAGATCTGATTATCGCTTGTCAGTACTATTAAAGTTGCAATTTCTTCTTAATACATATTATTAGAGTATTAGTATTTAAACTTTATAAAAATAATGTAATTCCTTATAAAATATTGTTAAAAAGTTTTGTTTTTATTGCGTTTTGTACTATTATACTGGTATCGATAACCTAAACTGGTTGCGTTACCATAGAATATTGATAATTTGTTTTGTGACTTTGTAACTAAAAAGAAAAGTTCCACAAGTTGTGATGTACTTTATTTTTAAAACAAACACGTGACGACCCTGCCTGTAAGTATCATATGGTATTCATACCATATAGGTAACTAACATAACCCCATACTTTTTTTATACCGACTTCATCCATCATCATTCTACAGAGATGTTATTTATTTATTTTTTAATTTCATTTCTGACACTTTATTACCTACTATTAATACATTCAAAGATTCCTCAGTAAATAACCGGGGGGGGGGCATCGATAACTTAGTTAATAATGTCTATGATTATGCACTCTAGTATAAGACACAAATATTAAGCATTATTTTATAGAGTATAGGGTTTAGTGCAATTAAGATATATAGGATAAGAAACGAAATGTTTTATCAGCGTTTATCTTGAAGCACGTATTGCACACCTAGGTATACGTTCACACAGCGTCAGGGATGGATCCAGGGGGGCTTAGGGTACCGGGCCCCCCTAGACATTTTATTTATTAGATTTTTGTATGAGAAAATAATGTATTATATTATGTATTGTATTTGTGTTTGTCTAAAAGACGACATTTCTGAATATAATTCATACGGTATGGAATTGCTCGCGGTAGGTAACTAATCGCTTACACAAATTACAAGTATAGCTACATAATACACCGATTAAAAATGTTATGCGATCATTTATATCTAATTTTATTTACAGGGTTTTTTTTTTTGTATGAACCAGCAATTTTCTCGTTGGATTTTAAGTGAATTGAATCTCTGTTTTTTTTTTTTTTTTTAATCATTGTGGAATCTGTTAAGCTTTAAATAAGTATATAGGTAAATACTTTTTTTTTTTTTTATAAATAGGAACCAAATTCATTTACGATTTTTCGAGACAATGTCAATAGAAAATAATAAAATAAGTAACACAATTAACGTCTAAAGAAAATAGGTAGGTTCCAAGGTGGATACAATATAATACAAGTATAACCATAGACTTAATAACTAATAGGATAATAGTTATTAGGTCTATCGATATAACCATGTAGATTAGAAGATTATGTAGGTTTATCTCTAATCATCATGGGTATAATCCATAGACATTTTACCATATATTACGTTATATTAAATTATCTATGGGCGTTTGGGAAGTTAGGTTACCCAAATAAATAAATAAATAAAATCGTTAACACGCAGGAATAATAAAGTAGAAAAGAGTGGTGCCTATATTACGACAGAATAATTACATAAACAAATATGGTAAACGCGGTACCTATACGGCGAATAAATAACAACATAAAAATAACTAAACACAAATCCGGAGCGACAATGTGTACAGCGCGACGTACGTAGCGGAAGGGAAAAAAAGCGGGCGCGTTGACCGGCGGACGACGGTGCCGTCGTAGCAGACGGCGGCGATCGTGCGCGTGCGAAAAATACATTAGTGGGAGGGCGCACAACTGGCGACGGCTGGCGCGCTTAACCGCGGTGACTACACAAAATGATAACGTTGTGGTTCGCCACAGGTGTAATAATATTATCTGTACAATAATAAAAGAAGTGCCCTCTATCTTTGACCAATCTTTGGTTTATGGTAAGAACCTTTCTAACCTAAATTTGTTTATTATCATTTACCGTACAAATACGCATAGATAACAAGACAAATCATCAAATACGTCATTACGCATTGCAATTTGCATGTTATAATATAATTTAAATTCTATTAATGAAATCATGTTCACTGTATACATTTGTTAAAAATTAATAAACTTAACCAGTATTTTTATCCTCATTCTGTTAAAAATGGTGGTTCTCGAAAAGAATAAAGTAAGTACTTATCTATTATATGCGTATAAAGTTGTTGTATTAGGTGTTAAATACTATTTTTACAAACCTTGAAAATATATACCAGATACCTAACTTGTTGTTTAAAATAAAATACATCCTTATATACTTATTTTTATGTTTGTCTTATACGCTAGTGTTCCTTAAACTTTTTAAGATTACTGAACACTAAACAATATTTTTTACACAGAATCCCAAAATATAAAAATATAATTTTTTATTTTAAAAAGAAATCTAACTTAATTTGTTTACTCATATCGGTGGTATTATCTTCTATAGAATTAAAACAAAGTTGGATTAGTTAAAATTTATGTATAAAAATTAAAAATAAATAAGTGAATGAATGCGTAGACTGGAATATTATGATAAGTGTATTATATGACCCATTTCGAATTAAAAATTCATCATTACTTATGTCACAGTCGCAAATGTAAAACTCTGATATACCTGATGATGAATTTTTTGTATAATACACTTATCATAATACTCCAGGTGACGTATCCATTCATTTATTTGTTTTTTATTTATATATTTATTTTCGAGTATTAACCATTTTAATAATTTTGTTTTTACTTTATTATTTTATTATTTGTTATACATATACAATGGTCAAAACAATATTTACAACACAAAACAATTATACAATAGGTATTAAATATTTACCTTATATAATATAACGTTTTTGATTGAAATATTGAGTTAATAAGTAGATACCTAGATAATTAAGTTGTTGAATGTATACATATTAAAAATTCAATGTTTGGATCTGCCTCTAACTAACCTATTAGCATATTAACTTCTGGCAATGTAGAAAGTGAATTGTAAAAAGTACCTAGGTACCTATTTATTACATAGGTACTTTTTAATATTTAAATTTGATTGTTCATTTTTGTTTACATTGAATAATTTTATTAGGTATTTTTTAATTGCTAACTATTTCAAAATGTTTGAGTATATATAGTAACATAAAATAATGTGCAAAAATCCTGAATTTACCGCTCGAGCGAGTCAGCCTGGAATCTCATACCACAATATTTTAGGAACTGTTTAAATTTTAAAATTTAAAAAGTAATTTTACAGGATAATATAAATTCAACATTATTAGTTTGGTTGTTAGTTTGTGTCTTTAATGAAATATGTTCTTTGTTTGACAGTTTTTGGAAGAGCTACAAATATTATTTGATAAGTCTCGTTCAACTGGATGTGTAAGAATTACTGTAAAACTCTGTAAGCCACTCTTGTTTCATTCATAAATCATAATACAGTAAAACCTTTGTATACAAATAATTAGGATAGAATATTAAAATCATCCATTAAATATAATGAAATGTAATAATTGATGCCAGGGAAAAACTTAGGATACATAGTATTATACACAGGTTGTATTCCTAACTGGGAGTCATTATAATTATTTGCCATGTATCTATAAATTAAGGTTTTACTGTATATATATATATATGTATATATATGTGTCAAAAATTAAATTATGCTTATTTGCCTATTTAGTACTACTAAGTGAAAAATCAAATGAAAACTCTAAAATTGAATTACCTAAAGAGAAAATATGTTTGATCAGAGCAACATTCAAAAACAAAAAAATAAGTACTAGAGTGAGTTAAATTGTATTTAAAATTCAATTTTATAAATTAACTAAATAATATGTTATTATTTCTGTACCTAGATTTCTGCAAATGATGTAGTGTCTTTTCAAGAGAAGTACTCCACATTATTAAGAAATTCTTTAAGTAGTTTGATAAAAACTAAAAAATTAAAAAAAAAAGTAATGTCTTAATGTGTAAAATTTTTTTTCCAATATTTAATACTCTGAAATTGTATTTCATACCTACTGACGTTTTATATATTTTAACCAAATGGTTTTTATTTGACTAAAATAATTTAAAATATTCTAATTTCAGTTAACATATAATATACAAGTGGTACTTTTTATATTTAACTCATCTGGTGTTCATTTTTTTCCTTAAATTGCTACTTAAAATAATATTTAATATTATTTTACTAAGTTTGTAAAATAAAAATATTTAATAAGTTAAATTAATTTAAAAAAAAAATACTAAGTATCTAGCATATTAAAATACCTAATAAATATGGATGCGTATAATACCTATGTATATACTTTAAAACCTATTGGGCTGTATACTAAATATATAGCTGATAACCGATATAGGGGTTTATAATCTATATCTATATATATATATATATATATATATAAATGAATCTCTATTTCCCTTGGTCATCACATCATGTAAGAATGGCTTGATCGATTTTAACGCAAATTTTTGGGAAATGTTCCGCATTGTCTGGAGAAAATTTATAGCTATTGAAATTCATCCCGTATTGAGTACCATCCCCTAAAATTTAGATTATAGGTAATTTTAGTTCAGAGATTTAATTATTTTTGTTGAATTATGGTTTCCGTGGTAACACAGATGACAAAAAAAAGAAATGTACTGGTGTGGAGGTATCTATAGAAAAATTAATTTATTCATTTCTTAGTGTGCAGTCTATTCTATCTGAACATTTATTCAGTTTTGAGTTTGTTGTGTGAGTTTTTTGAGGAATGTTTGTTCATCATAGTTAGTTCATTGCAATTTGGTTTTTCAAAATGCCACCAATTAGGCGTTCCAGCTGAGGTTGCGGTTTCAGAGGAATGTGTGGTGGTGATGAAATAACAGTGGTGCTAAATGATAATATATTTTTGTTTATTGTATGGTTGCTATTGGTTGCAGATTAAAATAATAATAATATATTAGTTACAATTGTTAATCAAGCATTTGTATTTTTTTAATAATATATTTAGTAAAAATTGTAATGATGTCTGAGATTTGAACCCTATACCAATTACACTAATATTATAAACATTGTATTTATATACTCTATGGACAAAAATTTAAAAGGTTGATCAAAATGTATCTATGGTAATTAATAACACACAATATTGCAAATAAAATCTTTAAAAAACTGTCTACTTGAGTGTACGATTCTTACTGGCTGTGGATCTGGGGAAATGGTCTTACCAATGATATCAACCAATTCACCATTCTAGTTTCTCGATTTCCACTCAGACTTCAGCTCCAATTTTCCGTAAAACTATGTTTTTCAATGACCATCAATAAGGCACAAAGTCAAACATTAAATGTTGCTGGTTTAGAGTTGAGACCTATCCGCCCCATGTTTTTACTTGGGTCTGTTAAAATGCAAAAAAATTTGCTGGCCCTAGAAAGTGAGACACTTAACATGGTGTATCCAGAAATATTTAATACTTAAGGCAAATAGTAATTTAAAATTTAAAAATATGTGTCATAACAGAATACTTTTAGTTCACCCAAGGTGGACTACCCACTTTCCACCTATTTGTTTTAATTCAATGTCAACACGGTCAATATCAAAAATTAATATGGGTAAAACAAATAATAAAAAATTGTCATGGGTAATGACAGGCTGGACAGCTAATAATAATATATATATAAATCGAAACAGTCACAATTTATGATTATTGTTGTAGTAAATAGATATTATGAAATCTATAATGTTACCATTTTTCATAAATATAAATTTGTGTATTCTTTTCTAATATTATTGTCTATAATCATAGTATATAGTATCATAAATGATAATAAAAAAATATTGTTCTGGGTACTACACAATTTTTGAATTAATACATTTAATAAATGGGAATATTAAAAAATTTAAGTTGATTTTAAGTCAACATAGAGGGGCAATGAATTAAGTTAATTAAAACAACTAGTAATTTAATTTGATTAGTTAATATTAACTTAACTTTTAACTTAGCTCAGTTATGCCCAGCCTTGGATAATAATATTGATTTATAGTAGTTAACATATTTGATGCAACTTGTGTGAACAGTACATATAGAGGTATCACCCAAACAAATTTTATTTTTTTCTCGATTTTTACTAATTATTGTTAGAAACAGTAAATAATCTGCCTCTAACTAGGGATGACAAAAATAATAAAGCACTGCAATAATATTTAAATACAATTGAAAACTGTAAAACTAAACTTATTAATAGCTTTATTAAAAACTTAGTCTGTTGATTTATAGTTTGATATATTTTTTATTATGTTTATTGAGTTAATATATAGTTAATTACTTATTAATGTAGTTATCTTTTTGATTGTTTTTTCTTTGATTTTATTAATATAATGCACATATATTTATACTTAAACTATTAGGCCAATTTAAAAATATTTATGTTAAAAAAAAAAAAATTAAAATGTGATAATCCCTAAGGATTAGTTCCTGTGTTATTATAAAATAATATGTTAAATATTATAATTAAAACAAATAATTTGAATAAATATGATAATATTGATTATTTTGATTAAAATTCTTAAAATTTAATTTATTATTTTGCCACAATTTTATTAAAAATAATGCACACTTTTCAAAACTAATTCTTTCACTCAAATCACTTTTTATGGCTCTGTAATTAAGTAGCAGCACTGATATGGATAATATGTGGATTAAGCCTATTCATTATAAAATGATTATTGCCATTGGATATGACAAGTAGCTACCCACATCACGCAATATAAAAATTGAGTGTCTATTGGCCAATTTTTCAATTGTTTAAATACAAAACTAAATTATATAATCTATTTAAGCTTGTTTATTATTCATCCTCATCATAGGTACCTATCTACCTAAATTATAATAATTTATTGCTGGCATATTAATTGGGCATTTTAAACACATATAGTAGGTATATTATAAATATATATTAATATGAGACAGTGTAATACTACATTAAATATTCAAAACTTAATAAGTAACGACTAGAAATTAAATTTTTGTCATTAAAAAAATGAAAAAGTCTTTTTAGTTAATATTATATTATTTTATAACTATAAAAGTTTACTTTAAATTATTCAACTGTAGTTTGTACATACAAAATATTTTGAGATTTTTATGCATTTAAAATTAAAAAAAAAAAATTAAATGGTACATACACTTAGGGAAGAGTTATATTACAGCTGATTTGACTACATCCATGATATATATGTTATATCTGCAAGTACATTTATTTAATTATTTTGTAGTATACCTAATACAGTGTAATGAAGATGAAGTGTTTAGATTTGAATATATTTAATGTTGAAGTTTTTTTATCATTATTTAGATGATTTTTCTATACTGGCTTACCATCAAAAGTATAATTCGCTTTTAGTATTTTTTTTTCGTTTGTTTTTTACATTAATATAACATTTATAACATAGGTAGACATCATGCACAGTTCACATAGGTATGTTGTATATTAATTTTTTTAAATTCGTATTTATCTGTAATAAGTAATAGTTTAGACTCATTTAAAATGTTAGTTGTGCATTATGTGTACATTTTAAGACAGGCAACCTACCTACTCATTGAAATACTTAATTAATCACTCAATTAAAATGTTGGACATAAATAATACCCGTCATGAACATATTGTGTATTTTATCACTAATATACAATATGTCCACCACTTAAACTTACTAAGTAGAAACAATTGGCAGCGTCAATTATAAAATGTTTTGTTTTCGTTTTATTTTAAAACAGGTGAGCAGATATACTGAAATAAAAACAATTTAATAATCTTATAAACAATTTATTGTGTTTTGTACTTTTTTGATGTTCTTCATCAAAGACGTAGAGTTCATATTATTCTTAAGCAGTTATAACCTTCTAAAATTTGCATTTAGTGGGTACACTGAGACGTCTATCAAAAATAATTCGTTTAAAATATGAAGCATTTTTATAATATTACTAAATAAGTAAGATGTCAGAAATTTGAGTTACCTACACGTACAAACGTTTTTGTATACTAGCCAGGGTATTAAGTGATGTAATATTATTAAAATTTAAATCTGTATACATATATATTACAAATACTATTATTATAATACCTATTCATAACATATTTATTGATTTACATTTTAATACAATGGCTCCCAAACTAATATGCACTTCAAGTGTAGCAGTTGCTACGAATTATATTTTTGGCTAGGTGGGTGTACCCTGCAGTAATTGAGATTTTGGATAGTCCAGTAGAATGGGTATAAACTATAAACAGTGCCGGCCCAAAGGGGGGCAAGCAGTGTGGCAATGCGGCTCCGTAAATTATGTATTCTGGAATATCACTTTAAGTATAAATAATCATAATATTATTGTGTCAATAACAAGCAAAGTTCGATTCGTGTGCCGTGTGGTTTTCTCAGGACACGGTTTGTTATTGACGAATAACAAGATGGTTCCAATTATACATAGCTAATAAAAATATTGATTAACAAAATATTGTTTGTACCTAAGTAGGTAAATACTCATTTTGTGTCTGATATAAAAATACAAATTTGATTTTATTAGTTTATTTATACAGGTATACAAATTTAGATTTCTAACACAAGACCTTAAAGTTTGTAAAATTATATGAAAATAAAGTAAATCGGTTAGACAATAAAATAAATAAATATAGATATACTTATATGAATATATATGGGGCCCCGCAAAATTCTGCACCGGGCCCCGAAATCTATTTAGCCGGTACTGGGTATAAACATTTAAACGTTATAATTTTTAGTTTTTAGGTAGTCAAATAGATACAAAAGTTTTTGAGGTGGGTGGTGGTTTTGAATTTCAAATTCTGTTACACCACACAAATATATATTTTGGGCGCCATTGTACCTACCTATTTAATTCATTATGATAAATATTATTAATGGTCTAATAAATAGTTCATTTATTATGCTGTAATTGCATAGATTTTTACATATGCATCACATCTCACTGTTACCCGTGAGTTTAATAATAATAAAAAACATTTGTATGCAATTAAATAATATTACAATAATTACGAATTGTTTTTAGTATACATTATCGTTTCAGTACATTTTTTTTTTTTAATCGCTATACTTAATAAAGTCAATATTTCTCGATTATAGTTTCCCCACTATAATATTATATAGCGGTTATTTGGAATGCAGAAGCGATTAAAAAATAATGTACCTATTCATTTATTATATTTTATTAGGTAGGTATGTAATATTTTTCAAATTTTTTTTATAGGTCTTAACCTACAGGTTTACCTTGACATTATTGTTTTACTTTAACCAAATTATATTACCTACGTATACTTATGTAAGCAGGATCCGTTCAAGGATACTTTTATTTAAGGTTTTTCGAATAATTTTTGTATGGTGGTTATACACTATAATGGTAACCTACCTATGTACATCATAATTCGATGTATATTTTATTAGATAGGTAATATTAAATACGTATATCCAATTATTTAATATTTTGTAAACATATTCATTTTAGTCGAATACGGATTGTGATTAATAATAATTAATTTGTTTGTCTACCTAAGTAGGTTATATTGAAATAAAAATATTAACAATGGTAACTACAGCAGTAAAAACGAAGATTTTGTCATTGGTGTCATTCTGGATCCTTGGCTTGTGCAACAATTTTGGATATGTAGTCATGTTGAGCAGTGCACATGACATATTAAAATCGAAAACTTCAGCGCCCGAAAGTAATACAGTAAGTACCCAGTTATTTTATTTTAAATTCTTAGCGGAACGAGGAATGTATTAGTTTTACTATAATGATTATTATTTTTTTTTTTCTGCGAACAAGAAACTTTGCTCTAATTTTCAAGTGTAGCACCTATTCTGAAAAGAAATTTGACTGGGGTAGTATACTTTAGATAGGTAAGTAATTTTTTGATTTTCCCAGGGGTTTTTATAATAAATGGGAAACCGGGAAAATGTACAAAGTGCATAATTTTCAAATCGTAAATGTTACCTATAGCCTTTCAAAACATGTATAACCAGATTCCGCTCAGAATCGTTTTTCGTTAGCAGCGATTAATCTTTGCGTACAGATATACATTAAATTTCTACTCTACCTTCCCAACTCATCTACAATAACAGTGGCCCACCCATCATGTGAATTATGTCCGTTTAAAACAAAAAATGTGCTACTATTGATGCAACTTATATATAAATTGAAAATAAATTTTGTCGTTGGAATTTTAAATTCCTTTCGATCCGTTGACTTATAAGTTTGGGTAGTGGAGTGGAGCGTTATTATTAAAACGTCGCATGCTGTGCCATCATATAAATGATGCTTTACAAATCTCCCTTTACCTAAACTTAAAAGCTCGTCAATGGGTTGAAGGAAAAAAATCAACACTAAAATATACTTTAACTTATACTACATCTGTTTCTAGAATTTTTAATATAGATTGTCATTTTAAAATCAAAGTAGGTAGTTGTTTCACCCCCAAAAATACGGTTTATAAAAATAATGGCAATGTAACAATTTAGAGTTGCTTGTTTCTGAAACTGTTAAAAAAAAGTTAATACTTTCCAAGATAACGAGTGTACCCACTTAATAAATGAATGAATAATATGAATAAATTAATAATTAATGAATTTCCTTGTACATACGTGTCAGGGGCGGATAGGCATGATCTGAATGGCCTGTGAAAAATAAAATCTAGCGCACCGCATGATCATATCCAAATTTCAACAAAAAAATTACCTCAACCTTGAGTGCACCAACACCCACCTCTTTTTTTTGTTAAGAATAGAATATAAATTTAATATTAATCATTACGGCATTACTTACATGAAGTTTCAGAATTTTAACTTGGTATAATAAGGGAGGAGTTTAAATGATAAACAAAATATTTTCATTTTCGTTATTTATAGTTCAGTATTTCATAAAATAAATGTATTAAAGAAGAATTATTTCTGATTTCTGGTACTCATTCACTAACTAGTGACCTCTTTACACTTAACGTATATTTGAGATGATTAATTCTTCTGTTTATAAGTATTGAGGGATCTTAGTATCTCGAGCACTCTCTCAGTTTCCACCTCTTTAGCTGTTACGCAGGGCCGTATTTGAACATTTTGCGCCCCGGGGCAACAATATTTCTAAATTTATTTAGATTATTCAAAATTCTTTATATTTAGATTATTTTTTTTGTTACATATTAATATTATATTTCTTATTATTCTTACTAGTAATTATTATTATTATATTTTTATAGACCATCAGTTTAAACTCTACAGATGGATTTGCAAGAGAATGCAATCATTTGTCAACTGGCGTTATACTTCTGGCTGATATCATACCTGGGCTTTTAATTAAATCTATTTCTCCATTTTTTGGATTGTATGTCCAGTAAGTATTGATTATATCATATTTTGCCTTCGGAAATTATACAGATATAGTCTTCAATATTCGGCATAGAGATCTAATATATTAATCAAATATGTATAGCCGAAGACTAGCGTTGTGTATTGGACTGACAATAGCTAGTTTTATAACTGTAGCAAGAGCAGAGACTGAAATAGTTGCTGCCATTGGTGTGGCATTAACATCTATGAGTTCAGGACTTGGGGAATCAACACTATTATCTTATATGACCAATTATCAAAGGTAAATATTAATTTATACAATTTTAATATTAGTTAAACTGCAGAATCTCAATTAAATTAAAAATACAATTTATTTTTCATTTAAACAAACCTTGGTATTTATTATTACCTATTATACTTATTTTAAATTAGTGCTTTTACTAATTTGGATTAATATTGTGTGAAGTACTTAATAAGTAAGTAGAAATTTGACTCAAATATATTATTGTTATGGACAGTATAGACTATATTTTTATAGCTATGAATTTTAATAAACCATGTTCTTTAACTTGCAGAAATATTTTACTATCTGTCTTTAAACTATACCTACTATACATAGGTATTATATAATATAATAGTTTGGAAATAAAAATAAAACATTGAAAGTATGATTTTAAATTTAAAAATTTGCAGAAACATTATTGCATTTTGGGCTTCTGGGACAGGAGCTGCTGGTATATTAGGTGCCTTGACTTATACAATATTAACTGGCATTTTTGAACTATCTCCATCTACTACGTTGTACTTTATGCTTATTGTACCAATTCTAATGGCAGTGTCGTAAGTATTTTTATTTTGCCATTATTATTGTATTTTTTAAAATATATAGCTACCCAGCTTATAGGAGTATGATATAAATTAAATTGAATGACAAACTACAAATTTAAAGTAGTACCTATAAATAATAGGTCGGTAAGTATTAAGTAGGGTAGCAATGACTTATTTCATTTTTAATACTTGGTATTCTAGTTATTTGTTATTATAACTTACATGCTAAAATTATTTTTTCTAAATGTGGTCTATGTGATTTACAAAATTAAAATATTACACCACAGAAATTTTCAACACTAAAACACAGATATGTACAATAAACATTGTTAAAATATTATCTACACCACAGAAATTATAAATAAGATTGTACAAAAAATGATAATTTTGAATTTCAACCTCATAATATGATATGTTTATAAAGGACAAGTGTTTTTGGATATTATTTTAAACATTGTGAAATACACCTTATTAATTTACTAATCTGTCAAAAATGTCTTTTAGTCATAAAAACAAAAACAAAAATTATAATCTAAATTTTCTATTATTAAAATGTAAAACTGTTGTTATTTCATAAAATTTCTTTTTTATAATATTTTTAGATTCTGGTTATTACTAGAACACCCATGTGAAGATACAACTCAAGTAGTATCTCAGAGTTTACCTGAAGATTCTAATATGGAGATTGAAAGTTTTTCTGTCAAATTATCATACATACCTTCATTGTTCAAATATATGATTCCTATAGGACTTGTTTTTTTTTTTGAATATTTGATTAACCAAGGTTTAGTAAGTATACTAGCTGTTAAATAACTTGTTTAGCCAGTGCCACCCATTTCAATTTTTTTCTTTCACCAATATTTTCCTCAAAAAACACATAATGTGTGGGCAGAACAGGGTTTCACCAGCCCCTTAACGCAAACATAAAGAACATTTCATTTTTTTGCAAGTATTTAGTATTGTAATTGTGTGTTAAACAAAAAATTGACTGAAAGAAATATATAATTTCTTTTGTTTCTGTAGAGAGGGATTGGTGTAACCCATCTACACCTACACATTATGTGTTTTTCTGGGATGACTAAGGTTGAGCATATTCTAATTTTAGTAGTATAAATTTATATCAGTGAAAAAAAATTTTAAGCAAGTGTAGTACAACAAACAGTAATTTGATTGAAAGCAATATGTCTCTTAATAATAACTATTTTTTTTTTGTTATGTAGTTTGAATTAGTTTATTTTGAAAATATATGGTTAACTCACGCGGAACAATATAGATGGTACCAAGTTTTATACCAGCTTGGCGTTTTTGTTTCAAGAACTTCAGTGAATCTATTTCTGATTGAAAAAATTTGGATATTGGCAATGTTACAAGTATGGATTATATTTTATTAAGAGTAAAAATTATAAACAGGATCAACTTAAAATAATTTAATTTTAGACTTTTTTAGACTTACAATCTGGGTTTGAGGACCAAACAATAAAAAATTAAAATTTGTATATGTTCAATTTATGTTTTCTACTAGAAATATTGCTCCAATATATGACAAGAGATGCTTTTTGTTGAATTTTTAATCTAGTTGGTGACTAAGAAAGTCGGTTTTTGTTTTTCTTTGTAGTTTTTTCCTAATTGAGCTAAACCGAAAAAAAAGTAGACATAGCAGAAAATAATGTTGATTTTAAATTTTACTCTATCATTGTTATTCAGGTTTAAATATTAGTAGAGAGGTAAAGTATACTTATTTTGTAGTCATGGTAAAATTTTCAAAACATTTGAGTTATTTTTGAGCTATTTATAGACATTTTAATTTTGCAAGATTTGTACGTAATATTTATTTGATAGGTAGTAGGTACTCTGCAGATAAATTGTTAAACTTAACAGAAATTCTAGAAAATTTGTTGGGAAGTTCAATATAAATCGTACTTTGTGGTCAAAAAAAAATTTAGTTTAATAGAGTACTTTTTTTACAAGTATTAAAATAAATTCTGACAAAAATTGTAAATATTATAACCTTTCAAAACAAGTGTAACCTCCAAATTGTTTTTCATTATCAATAGTTTATCATTGTTTATAGGTGTTAATTAAATAACCTTATGTATCCCACCCTCCCCATTATTGACCTACTGTAGTGGTGGCTGCACCTGTCCCTAGTATCAGCTCTTTTTTTAACTTGCAAGTTGCAACTATTCATTTCTATGCATTTTTAGTATATTTTTAATTTGGATTAATATTTTTAATGGACTTTTTAAAATATAAAATTCAATAATATAATAATATTTTTTTTTTTTTTCAGGGATTCAATGTTGTTTTCTTTTTAGCAGAAACATTGTATTCTTTTACACCAAATATTTTTATAATATTTATAATGATTGCATACGAAGGTTTATTAGGGGGATCAGCATATTCAAACACATATTATTCAATTATGAAAAATGTAATTACCTTATTATTTCTTACTACATACTTAAATATAATATATGTGTGACTTATGTGCAGACTGATTCACAAAGATCTAATAAATGTAATAATTTTTGTTCTATTAAATTTCAAAAGTTCTTTTTACTTTTGTAATAATGACTAGTGCTATGATTATTAAATCTTTTTTTTTTTTAAAAAAAACTAAAAATTAAAATTCTGTAAACATTTTTTTTTTAGAAAAACTAAGATTTTTTTGCTATTTTATTAATTTATTTTGAATTATTAACAAATGTTTACCAATGAAGTTTTTTTAATTGATACTACTAAATAATAATTAAATTCATTAAATATAATTAATAGCTAATAACTAAAATAATAATTCAATGTTCTTGTAACCAATACAAAAACAATTTAAATATATTGAACATTAGTTATTGTATTTGTAAATTGATTAGATCTCCATGAATCACTTAATATAGGTATGAACAAAAATTCAATTAACTACATTTTCTTTGTTTGTAGGTACCGAAAGAGAAACAAGAATTCTCCATGGCTATGACAGCATTTTCTGATGCTACAGGAATTGCATTATCTGGATTTTTAGCTATTCCATTGCATAATCAAATTTGTCATTTACCAAAATGATGAATCATGTATAGGTTATACCTAAAAATAATTAGTTTTAAGTTTTATTTATTTCTTAAATTATTTACACTTATTATTATTATTTAAAAATACTTACTCAATTAAATTAATTATAATCCTTTATACTGGTATTTTATTATTATATATTATTATCATTTAATTCATCATTGTAACTTGTTTGAATATTATCTATACAAAAAAAAAAAATCAAGTTAGTTTAAAACAAAATTAAAATTTTTAAATCTAAGATTTAAACAAATGATTGAAGAACTATAAGTAATGACAAATTTGAAAATACTTGTAGAGCCTTATTTAAAAAGAAATTATTAAGGAGTGTCATGATGCTTAGAAATAGTAGTTTAGGTAATTTTGATTCTTTGTCTATACAGGATGATCAAAATACAATTAGACATTCAATATCTCGGAAAGTATTTTTTAAGATTACCTCCGAGTAATAACTTTACTAGTTATTAGTTACCATTTTACTTTTTTTGGAATTTTCTTTTTAGATCATTTAAGAAATAAGCAGTTCAAAAATGTTTCACTTCATTTATTTTTTAGCAACCTTATTTTAAGGGGTGAAACTACTTTTGATTTTTAAGTGGCAACCTAAATTAAAAATTACATAAATAGACGGAATATTAGTTTAAATAAATGTTGGTATTAAAATTTCAGATTTCCCTCAACCCATTGATGAGCTATTCTACTCTGTTTTGGTGGGGGGAAAGTAGTGGTGTATCATAATGTCCCACCACTATCCCTCCACTTAAACTTAAAAGTTTAATATCCCTCAATGCATTAACAGAAATCAATAATTTCAACACCAAACTTGATTTAAACTAATATTTCATCTATTAATTGAATTTTTAATATAGGTTGCCATTTAAAATCTAAAGTATGTAGTGATTTTACACCCTAAAATAAGTGTACAAAAAATGAATAAAGTAAAATTTTAGAGCTACTTATTTCTAAAATGTTCTAAAAACAAACAAATTCCAAAAAAGTTAATACTTACAAAGATAATGCGTGTTTTACATTATCTTGATCATGTTGTACATTTTATATTGAAGTATATACTTATATATTATATAGACTAGAAAATTATATTTAAATATTAACTCATTGTTACCATTATAACTTATTGATTCTGAGTGAAGTGAGGAATGTATTAACTCTACAGTGATATTTATTTTAATTTTTTTTTATCTGTGAACAACTGTTATACTCGAAATCTTACTGCGATTTTTAAGTATAGCACCTTTTCTGAAAGCATTTTTTTAAATTTTTTGGTTTTCTAAGAGGTTAGATTAGGTTAGGAAACTTAAGAAAAATGTAGGGACAAATACACATTTTTCTACTAAAAATATTACTTTATTTAAAACCTTTTTTGTTAAATTTTGGATCAAGATGATCATTAAAAAAGTTATTTTTTTTTGATTTTCCTTGTATTTTTTTTTAATTATTGACCAAAATCAAAAAAAAACTTGGAAATCCTATGTATTAAAAAAAAAATGGCCTGCTTGTAGTACCACCCAGATAAAATTTCCTTTCTGAAAAGGTACTTTACTTAACATTTGGAGCAAGATTCTGGTAGAAAAGTTGTTAGAGATAAAAAAATAATAATAAATAAACAATATTGTAAAATATTGGTTTTACAATAATAATAATACATTCCTTGCTAAGTCTGAATCTAAAATATGGGACACTTAAAAAATAATTTTTTTTTTTAATTTTAAAACGGCCTCTTTATTTCCTCAATAAATATATCCCTAATAATCTTGCTATGGCTTTTATAATATTAATAACCAACTTACAAACAGGCATATTGACTTTTGCTCTGTATAATATGTTTGTTCCTTGGTTAACTATAATGTCTATAGCTCGATCATCGGACCCACCATATGTACAACAAGTAACAAATTTTTCACAGTAAATTTCTCTTTCTGGAACAATTATAGGCATCTAATGCACATACAATAAATATGAGAATAATAATATTATGTGTGATGTATCCATTATATAAAAAAAAATAAAAAAAATATGGGTCTTTTGTTTTTATACTTACACTACAACATGGCGATTCTATAGTATGATATAAGGTGTTGTATAAGAAAACTACATTAATTCCAATTAAAGCTTTTTTGCCTAAATTTTTTAAATATAATCGGATTTTGAACCGAGGTCCCAGACCTAAAAGCTAAAATAGAATTTGTCTTATTATTACGTCTCACAATACTGTACTGTTACTGTAATATTACTTGAGCTGATGTATGTAACAATTGATTGGTAATTTTGTGTTTTATCGAATTGATCCGTTCATTTAATACAGAAATTTGTAATGTTTGCCATGTCTGTTGGGTACGTAAATGCATTTCTATAAGAACAAAACTAAAATTTGACACAAAACATTTAAATATTTGAATTAATATTTGATTGATTTACCCTTACACTGCTCTCTTTCTCGTAATGTTTGTTCTATAAACACGTTACTTCTTTTTGGTATACTTAAATTACAGTTACTTTGTGTAGTTGAAGTTGGACGAATACACAAATCAAATGTTGCTGTTCGTTTTAAAAGTTTTATGTCAACTTTACCTCCTAACAAAAATAATAATAATTATTTATTGACACCTATAAACTGTTAAAAAGAAAATTTCTTACTAGAAGAAATCATTATTAGTGCATTTTCTTCTTGGCCAAATTTTCCGAAAATCAAACAAGTCATAGGATCTTCGGTGGGAATTTTGTGAATCACTGTCGAACCGGAATACATTAGAATTAACCCTTTTGTATTTCCGTCTAAGTTGGTTACAATGCAAGACAAAATAGTAATTTCGAGGGACAAGCTTTGTACATACATATCGATCATAGCCATAGGATCTCCTGGTAACTTTACATTCCATAATGATACACACTATAAATAAGATACAAAATAATAATTGAAAAATTGGTTTTTTTTTAGTTTTATTATGGGCCGATCAAAACATTTTTCTGCCCCCCTCGATTTCAAACACTGAAATGACGTTACTGACTGTAGTTTAATTTCTTAGATATTCTATTTTTATATAACGACAGTGTTTTTAGATTTCAATAAATGCACGGCCCATTCTACAGTCAGCAATAATGTGGTGAAAACCCTTTATTGGGGTACGCAACCTATTTATAGTAGGTGGGTACACATATATTATGAGCTACAAATTATAATGTACAATATTACAATAATATTCTAAATTCTAATTTATAAATAAAATTATGATAAATACAATTTGTTCAATTATGAATTACGAAATCTCAAAAATACGAAAACAAATGCACAGAAAAATAGGTATTCACTTGCATACTGTTTGATTACCGTAAAACCGTGACTATTTTTTTTGTCATTCACTTTTCATCAATGGTAAATTTTTTTTTATTACAAACAAATGTTTTACCTTGCATCATAAACTGTTAAAACATTCAATCAGTAAAAAAAAACTTAGGAGGGTTTTGTGGAGGTTATGGAAATTTGTTTGGAGGTTTAGCTTTTAAAGCCCCCTTCCCTATTTGAGCCAATGGGTAGCTGGTAGTTATATTAAAGGATTATTCTAAGGTTTTATTAGTACCTACTTATTAACTATATTTAAAAAAAAAAAATAACATTTAAATCATAATATAGGTACATTTTCTCATTGTATCATGTAATCAGTTATCTCACTTTTAGTGTGTAGCATTGTAACAGTCCGTCTATAGTACAACAAATAAACTTGTCTAGTCGTAGTATTACAGCTACAATCGCGTGTGTCATTTCAATTTTATAACCACTTGTCGATGATTTAGAAAAAATGTACATTCTGCCAGTTCTTGTAGCTACAAGAATTTTATAATCTACATCATACAGCCCAGTAGTAGACATATATGCTGTTTCACCCTGCAACTACTCAAACAATACAATATACGTTAGTATTAAAGATTATTTTATCAATATAAACGGAAATTGTTTAATATTTAAAAAATCTTTAAATACCTAGGTAGGTGGTAAGAACTATTTATGAATTACTATATTTAGTATTACTATAGTACTTATATTTAATATTTCATAACATATGATGCATACAATGTGAAGATAAAGGAGTGTTAACGAATTATGAGGATGAAAAGTAGAGATGGAAAGAGTATTTTGAGAAATTACTGAACGAGTAGACAGAGTTTCGTGGAATGATGGTTTCGTATATTTAGTAAAAGAGGAGGAAGTGTGGTAGGTTATGAAAGTAATGAAAAAGAAAAAAAGAATAGGTTCAGATAGAGTACCAGTAGAAGTACCTATAGGAAATATTAGGAGAGTTAAGAGTCAAGTTGGTTAAAATAGTTTTTTCAATAAAGTGCTAGTAGAAGGGAAAATGCCAGAAGAATGGATAAAGAGTTTGATAATACCTATTTTAAGAAAAAAAAGATGTACAAGAGTGTGGAAATTATAGACCAATAAATTAATGAGTCATAGTATAAAGATTTGGGACACAGTTATAGAAAGGAGAATTAGAAGTGAGAAAGCAATATGTAAGAACCAGTTTGATTTTATGCCAGGAAAATGTATGATAGAACCAGTGTTTTTGTATGAAGAATTGATACAGATTGTAGAACATTTTAGAGTAAAAATCCATATATAGCCTTTATAGATGCTGAGAACGTTTATAACAGAGTACCGTGAGAGGTTCTTATGTGGTCCTAAAATTGTTTATTAGTTTGATAGAGGATGTGTGTAAAGACCAAGATAGGTACGAGTGTAAAAAGCATGTGTGGAATAACGGAATATTTTTGGGTTTCGGGGTTCAGGTTTAGGTCCTTATCTATCTTCTGTTATAACGAATAAAGTTACAAAATACAAGGCGAGGTACCATGATGCGTGATATTTGCAGTTGATATAATATAGATATACATAGGAGAAAATCTGGAAGAAGTTAACAGTAGATTTAATGAACTCGGTGGAAAACCCAGGTGGATGATTTCAGTAGACATATGATATTGTTTTATAGGGTGTTCTTCTATCTTATTAACATGGGATAATTCTTTAAATATCTTGAAAATATCAAGTTAGGTATCGAATATGACTATTAATAGTAACCACTATATGCAGCATTGGTCTGCTAATACCCATGTCCTATCGATTGAATAATCACGTTAATTGAATAGTCACGATGGCCGAACAATCCGTGTCGCGAAAAGTGCTTGAAAATAATTTAAAATTTACATTCGCCCCGGAGAGTAGCACTCTAAGTCTTAGAGTTTCTTAGAGTCTAAGAAAAGAGACTAAGGATAAGTAGAAGTAAAACACTAATTTCACGGAGTTTTGTTCGGTAGGTACTCTGTGGATAAAATTTTTAGAAAAAAAATCCCATTTGGGGGCTGTACCGGCCAAGTTGGGAATCACTGTTTTAGACCAATAAGCTGTAAGAAATTAGATATACATTCTAACGTTCCATTTTATTTTTTAAAGTATGTTTGGATTATTTAACAAATTGTCTTGGTGTTTTGGGAAGTTCATTGTCGATTATAAATTTGGTATGCCTAAAATAAATTCAAAATGAAAATAGGAATTTTCAAAAATAATATCATAATTTTGGAGATCTTGAAAATTGAAAATCGAAAATTGGCTCCCTCAGAAATCTAGATAATATTAGTCAACAAATGCATAAATATTTTAGAAATGTGTATCGGACATCGGAAAGTATGTTTAAATTTCCACCACTTGTCGGTCCAAAAGTATGAAAACTATAACTATAAACTTATGCAGGTGCGCTTTGATCCCTTAAATAAAAACACTAAAAAAGTAAAAAAATACACAAATACTTATCCGATCACCGATATCGATTTATACAACGGTTAAAAAACATAAAACAATATTTTATAACAAACAATAATATGTAGATATAATATAATATATAGATTTACATCTATCTAAATACATGTATTTATCAAATAATTACTCAATTTACCTCATATTTATCGGGCAACATTTTAAACGATTCTGTATCGAGTATATTGATCATATCAGTGGTTGCGATTACTAGACAACCGACTCCGTGAGCATCTTTCATATTTTTCTTTAACTCAACAACACATGTTATTGTGTGCTATAACAATAACAATAATGTATACCTAGTTACTCACCGGTTTAAAATACTACCTACTCAATGTCAAATCAATATGTAACAAAAGTACCCACTTGTTTTATAAGTTTATTTGTTTTATACTTTTCAAAATACTCTTCAATATGACACTCGTTTGAGCAAAGCATTTGCTGTGACGTCGTGGAAAGATTGGCAAATCCAATGGAGGACGATAACATTTGTAACTTATTTAGTAAATCGTATGCATCATCACATTCTTGCCACAATTTACATTCTTCGGTGTCTTTTATAACTTTTGGTTGAATCGAGTATTTATGATACGGTTTACAATTTCGATAAAAATAAATTTCATTTCGTATCGCTACAGCTACACCTACAAATATATTTTTTTTTTTTTTTTACATACCAAGCTATAAGTTTTATTTCTTGGAATTTTGATTGAATATAATTGAACAGGTACTGTTTACTGATGGACTATTATTCTCAAACAATATGAACAAATTGACAGGAAGATAAAATTAATTCTTTATCAGTTGTCACTCATCTTCTATCTTGAATAGAGGACAAAGGTATCTCAAAATTTTAAGAAACATATATTAAGCATAAACAGTGGCGTAATTCGGGTTGCAAAGACCTATGGGGGCCCCACACCCCCAACATTATAAAAACAAATAATGTTTTAATACAATCATAATATTATATATTATTAATATAAAATACATTATAAATCTATATAATTCTTCTTATATAGGTGGTACATATTATTAAAAACTATGAATTATAAATCGCATAATCTTTTACAATTGGAATACAAAATTTAGAATTTTAAAATTGTATCTGTTTCACTGTTGTTCTCTATTTTAATGTACCTATTTATAGTTTTGACTTATAAATGTATTGGTTATTTCAATTTTTGTTTAAATAGGAAATTATGTTATTTAAATTAGGAAAATTTATAATTTCACGATTTCATTATTTTATAAAATCACGGACGACGTTTACTACCAGAAAAAAATGATTGAATCGAAAAATCACAAGACACCTTTTTTGTTGCCGATTCACTTTCTTACGGTATCATCACCAAAACTTTTTAGCCACTTTTGAGCCATTTTTGAGCTTTTGAGGAATTTTAATTTTTGGGAGTTTATTTTGTTGTAGTTCAGTTATAAATACATGTAGAGACTTGAAACTTGGTAATAGTACTTATTTTATTGGACTTACCTAGACGTGGTACAATTTTCAAAATCGGACCACGTTTTTTTTTTAATAAGCGTTTTAAAATCAAATTTAAACGAAAATCGGAAAAAAAAAAAAATACGGTACTTCAAATTGTTTTAACGAACTGCGCTCGGGGTCGTCTTTCGTCAAGCAATGGTTTATCGTTGTTTACAGATATAAATAAAATAACCTTATGTATCCTACTTTTTCAACTTTTTACCTACAACAATGGCCGCTCCCATCCCTAGTATCAGCTTTTTATATTTTTTTACAATAATACTATATTTTTTTATTTTTATACTGTAGACTACTTTTATTCTAGAAAACTTGCTCCGATGTAAAGTGTAGCACCTTTTTTGAAATTCAATTTTATCTACTTGGTAAATACATAGGTCAAATTTTGATTTTCGAAACGGTATTTAAATTAAAAACGATTAACCGCGAAAAAAATACGAGTTTTTTACGGTTTCGTCTTTTAAATATAACGTACCACGTTTTCTAGCACAAATATCGCTCCAATTGAAAAACGACAAGAGACCTTTTGATTTTCGAATTAATTTTTATAATAATCGGAAAAAAGCGTAGGAAGATTAGGTTAAAAAAAATTCCGGCACTTCAAATTATGTATTATCAAACTACACTCGGCATCTTCTTTCGTCAGAAATGGTTTATCGTTGCTTACAGACATAAATGAAATAACCGTATATATCCTTCCTTCCCAACTTCTCACCTATAATAGTGGCCGCACCCGTCCCCAGTATTAGCTTTTTTTTTTTTATCTTTTAAGTTTATGAGCAGAATATATTAAGGTAGATAAGACATTTATATTTGTATAATTAATTAAGTAAAATATTTTAAGCCGTAAACCCAATATTAAAAATTTGAATGCATTGAGGACTTAAAACATAATTTTATTAATTTATACTTAAGTACTTAATATTGATTAAGTATACTTTATCAATGTTCACAGTTTAAAATATGTTGCTTAATTATGCGATTATATATGTTTTACCTTGATATATTCTGCTTATAGACTTAAAAGATATAGAAGATAAAGATGGGTACTATACAGTCGTGAACACTAGAGAAAAGACGCCGGTCTATAGGCACTACTCAAGGTAGTCCAAAATTATCGCACATCATTAGAATGTGCTTCGGTTAGTAGGTAAAGCGATGTCAGTTTTACGTGTAAAGCATTTATTGGTATTTTATTATTATAATCTAAATAGCGAAACGAATGAATAATTGATATTAAACGTTTTTTGAATTTATCTTATAAACATATCTTCGGTATAAAACAAAAGTGCAGTTTATAACTATCATTCGATGTTTGCATTTTTTTTTTTTTTTTTCAAAATCTATGTTTTAAAAATGATAGTACCAAAATAAATTTCTGCAAATTATTAGTTATTGAGATATAACGATACTAAATTTGAATTTTTCTCTGAACTGTAAACAAATTATTAAAAATCATGCATTTTTTTAATGAAAATAAAAGTTGAAACATTCATATTTTCAAAAGTAATAAAACAAAAAAAATTGTTTGAAATATAATTATTTGTAGTTCTTATTCCTGTGAGTAAAACAAAAAAAAAAAACAGAAGTTGATTATTTTTATTATCTCTAGAGATAATATAATGTGTTAATCTTTGTGGAACATCCAGCGCGTACCTACCTATTTCGTACGACAATCAAGTAAGTAGGTATTTTGTGTTTAGTATTTAGTAGATAATAATAGATTTTCTATTGGCTACCTGGACTACCTATCTACTATCTAATGCAGGTATATTTTAATATACACCTATGTACCAATTGATATTGAAACACTATGACTCGTACAACTTTTGTTTAAATAATAGCCAATAAGCTACCTAAAATAGGTGGGCAGATATGAAAAAAAAAAAATAAATAATAATAATAATAATAATAGAAACATATTTACACGGAATGCGTTGTTCCTTGTTGTCTGTGTATACGGTTGTGATAGCCGACGGCTTTTCGTTCAACTGAATGATATGCGTCTGGTTTAGCCCTTTAAAAATCTAACGGAAATATAATATAACGTTGACAATAGCGTCACGAAAACAAAATGGTACGATATTCTATAGGTAAATCGCGGAGCGCGTACTTTTAATTGAGGGTTAGACGTTCCCGATCCGAAATCAACAACAACAAATTTATTATCGTTGTCGCCGTGAACGTCGGTCAATGTCGTGCAACTATTGTAGGTCTGCAAATTAATTGGTGGGATTATGTCGACGTCTATCCACGTAGATTGCCTGTGAAAAAAAAAAAAAATATTACGACCAAGTGTATACAAAACAGTTATTAAAATATTTTTAAAATGTCGTAAATAGTTATTACATGTTTCGAATTCGTTTCCGATGAGTAATATTAAGAAGATCTGAATCGACTATACTGAGCCTCAGATTATAAAATATAACCTGTTCCTGTTATGTTTTCGGTGACCGAAATAATTTTTTTTTTATAGAATGGCTATCGGTAATAACTGCGGTTTGTTGTGTTCTACGTTCATCTATATACCTAGTTGCTTAGCAACGTAATGTTTTATCCTACAGGTATAGCCGCACAAGGTTTAACAAATTACGTGTTACAGTTTTGAGCAGTGGCGTGTCCCGACTTTTTCCGAAAGGAAATCTGACTAAGGTTGCACTTTGGGGAGGTCATTTTTTGATTTTTCTAGCTGTTTTCTTAAGATACTTATTCACAGCAAAAATAATCGTAATATTTGACTAATATATTTCGTACATTTTCCCGTTTTTCTCAGTTTTTCACATTTGATAAGAAAACTCCAGAGAAAATCGAAAAACGACCTCTTTAATGTAACACCACAAGAAAATTTCTTTCCCTTACTTTTAAAAGTATTACGACATTTTTTTTCCTGTGAACAACTTTTCTACAAGCGATTTTGCTCCGATTTACACTGATAGAACTTTTTTCAAAAGGAAATTCGACTGGAGAGGTCATTTTTCGATTTTTTTTCAGGAGTTTTCCCACCAAATGTGAAAAACCGAGAAAAAACATGGGAAAACTGAGATAAACGTAGAAAAAACGGAAGAATTGATAATATATCTAACAAATATTATTAAAAAAAATATCTATGTAATGCCTATTTAATTATTTTATCATAGTATGACATCAACAACAATGGCTGTACCTTAAGTATGTCTGTCTGTTTAATACATTTTATAAAATACATAAAAACAAAATTTAAATTAAGGTATAATATTTTAACAACAAAATTATAATTTCGTCCTCATATAAATGTAATTTATATTAAGTAAACATATTTATTGGTGAATATAACAAACAAGACCCTGTCAAAAACTAATCAGAACTAGTTGGAAATATTATAAAAATATTATCATATTTGTCTAGATTTTTTTAATCAATTATGTTAAAGTGAATAATAAGTATACAAGACAAAACTTAAAACAAATTAAGTTCATAGCTAATTAAATGAAAATAAATTTAATTGTTTACATTATAAATCATATTTATTTATTATAAATTCAACGGACAAGATGTTCTTTATTTTTTAACAATAAGTATGGGTAACAGAAAATGCATAGAAGACTATTTAAAAATTATTATAACATTATATTAATTATAATAAATTTCCATAACATTAAAAAAATATATATAATGATATAAAAATGATTAGTAAATAAAAGTAATTTTAAATCAGTATATAAATCAATTTCTAATTAACAGATTTGAGATAAAATATAAATTTTAATTATTAATTAAAGTTAAAGCATTAGTTTTGAAGGAATGGCAAGATATATAGAAAAAATTTAGTGTTGTAAAAATAGAATTAGGTAAAATAACAGCTTTATAAAGGAATGAATTTTTACCAGTATTTGTTTTATAAAACAGATCAATACATAAATCTGTATTACTAGTGTGTTTACGAGGAATACGGAAATTAATTTGGACTAAGATTTTAGGAAACCATTTAAAATATTTTAAAAAAAAACTTATATTGGATATTGTCCATTACTATTTCAAGTTGAAAAATCATATGACCAGATAATAGAACCAAATTCGAGGTATGATCTTACTAGAGCGTTTTAAGCAGGTAATGTTTCTAAAATCATTTGTAAGTCTATTAATAAAACCAAGTATTTAGTAAGACTTATTAATAATTGTTTTATGATTTATTTTAAATTTAAGGTTGTTTTTGAAATAGTGGAAAATCATTGAAATAATATTGAAAAACAGAGGAATGATTTTATGGGTAAAGGATATTACTAAAATTGTTTTCACTCCAAAGAACAAATTTATTTGTGTTAGTTTGTAAAATATGTTGATCATTACCTGATTTTATTTTACAAAATAGTTTGGCATCATTATCAAATAACAATATATTATTTGATGGTTCAATAACTAGAGGTACCTAGATTGTTTATAAATATCAAAAATAATAAAGGCCCCAAGTGAGAACCTTGAGGGACATCTTATAAAACAGAGAAATCAGTAAAGAGATGAAATGTTTTGACAGCTTGAGTTCGATTAGTAAGGGAAAAGAATAATCATTCAAGGAAATGTCCACCTACTTCAAAAGATTTTAATTTATGGTATAACAACATATGATCAACTTTATCTAAGTTAATGTAAATAGAATCAACCTGATAAACTCTTTATCTAAAGTGCTTATTAAAAAATAATGATATATTATTAAATTAGTAAAAATTGAATGTTTAGCTAAACACTGTGTGTTATTTGGGACTTATATAATTACTTAGTAAATTTGATAATTGTTTTGAAATAATAGCTTCAAAAATCTTAGGAAAAATTGAGAATTTGGCAATTGGTCGGTAATTTCTAACATTATTTTTATCGCTGGATTTATAAATGGGAGTGATAAAAATTTTTATTAAACATTTGAAAATACACCAGTGGAAAGAGAAAAATTAAATAAATGATAAAGAGATTTAACAAAGACAAGACATTTTTTAAAACAAAATTGAAAAAGTGAACTATTAGGACCAGTACTTGATTTTTCATTAAGTAAGAGAAGCCAGAGAATCGTATCACCTTCAGATATAGATGTATAATTTAAATTAAGGTCATGATAATAATGTTGTGAATTTCATTTAAATTATAAGTAACATTATTTTTGGGTAAATAGTGGAGAAATAATTAAAAAACAATTGAGATAATATCATTCAAATTATTAGCTGATAGAATCATGTAGGAAAACTGAGAGGAATATTAGATTTATATTTTTTTAGAGATTAAATATAATTCCAAAATGATTAAATATTAATATTAATATTATTATTATTTTTTTTTTTAATATATAATTTGAGTCAATCTGTTGATATAGTTGTTAATATTTTTTACATAATTTAGAAAAATGTAAATAATCTGAGTGAAGATTTGATATTTTATACTTTTTGTGTGCAAGTTTTTTATCTTTAATTAAATTTCTTAAATTATAATTAGAATTTATTAGATTATTATTTAATTTTAGTTTTGGAACAAATATGATTTAAGATTTCATAAAATTTTAGGACAATATTTTTAAGTTCTAAATATTTTACATTAGACATAATCTAAATCATAACCCTGAAAACACGAAAATTAGAATACCTGGGCCACATAATGGGAAATAATCAATCACGTGGTTTGCTGTAACTCATATTCCAAGAGAAAACAAAAGCTAAGAGAAATGTTGGAAGATACCATGGCTAAAAAATCTCCAGGACAGCTTTGATATAGTAAATTAATTATTTTGTTCATTCATTGTTATAAAGAGAAGTAATTTATTAAAAAAAAATACGTCTTAGGATAATGGGAACAGGTGTGGTCACTGTTGAAGATAATTGAATGTATACCTGTAAGCAACAATAAACCATTACTTACAAAAAATGATTCTGAGCGGAGTTTAATTGATAGTGATGCTTTGTCAAAAATATATATGTCATTTTATAGTCAAATAATTTAATAGGCTTTATATATTTTCTTTAATAATATTTGTTTAATTTTGTATAGAATTTCCCAGTTTTCCCATGTTTTATCCTGGTTTAATTAAATTTGATGAAATAACTCTGAAAAAAAATAATCAAAAAATGACCTCCCTACGTTGATTTCCTTTCAGAAAAGTTGCTACATGTAAAAATCCAAGCAAGTCTTCTGGTAGAAAATATGCCCAAAAATAAAAAAAAATATCTTTGTAAAACTATAAGCTTCTTCGCTCCACTCAGAATCTAAAATTTAGTTTAATTCTAAGATCCTTACATTTTAATAGAATGCATGGAGATTTAAACATTTTGGTAATGTGTATTTGGTGTATTGGTTATCTAGACAATTTTGGAAACACTATAAAATTTGATGGTTAGTCCAGTTTCACCATTGTTCATATTCGAGGCTAGCTCCTCACGCAATTTCTTCGTAGATTCTCTTTGATTTTTGTTTGATTAGTGGAGATATTTACTGTGAAAAATTAAATTTTCTTTATTTCTTATAACATATAAAGCATCACATGAAACTAGTTTTAATTGAAAGCGGTTTACTAAACTAATAAAGCCCAAAGCAAATGACCTTTAATGGAACAAGTATATTATGATATAAGATATTATTGAAATAGTATTATTAATATGATGTGAATCCAAGGATATTCTTTCATCAGACTGGTTTGATTTGCTTTATTGATCATTATAAAATATAAGATTATTTGCATGTTTATTTCATTTATTACAGATTTGTCAGAATAATTTGTATTTTTATATGAATTATTTTTCATATTATTGACTTCAACAAGTCATTTTTTTTAATTAGGATTTTTAATTCCAGTAATTCTTTTAATCCTAGACACTGAAGCTTGGTTAAAGATAAACCTGAACATTTATGATGTATCAGTAAACAACATCTATCACATTTTAATGTGTCAAGTTAAGCAAATTGACAGCTGTATGAGTAGCAAATGTTTTTATTTGACATTATGGGTAAATAAGAATCACTTGAAATAAAAAGTGTAGAAAGAACTATTTATTAATATAAATTGAAATAAGATAATTGATAAATCATTGTAATCATTGAACATTTAAAATGACTATTAAGATGAAAAATATCATATTTACATAGGCCATGCTGTAAAAGTAGTTGTATTTAATAAGTTCAATTGAAATTATTCATCAATGAATGTACAAATTTACTACAGTAGATGTTTGCACCAAGTTAGATCAGAATATAATTAATTATATTATAATATATTATTCTTATTTATTTATTTACTTTTTTTTATATTACTATTCCATGATTAATTAAATGAGATTTGTAAATTTACTTCTATAACATTCTTAGTATATTATTTAAATTTTAAAAACTTTCTTTTACTTTGTATTACTTAATTTATTAATGTTAATTATAATTACTAGATCAAAATGATTATAAACAGTTCAAATCATTCAAATAGTGTACTGTAGATGATTGTTCATTATTTTCTATCAATGGTGCCTAAACTATAGTGCAACTTTTTAGAGAGACAATCAATAGACAATATTTGATTATCTGTATTCATTCCCATACTGGGTCCCATTTTATACTATATTTTAAACAATTAAATGGGGCTCACTTTTAAATACAAATGATAAACATTCTGAAGTAACTAAGAAATCTCAATGGTAAAAAAAGTAATTTGAGAGAAAAGGACTAGGAAAAATCAAATGTAAGTAGTAAATTAAAAGTCTACACGAGAAGGGCCCACCAGGAAGTTCTCTGTGTTGGTATTATTAGGTGTAACTGTATCTTATTAGGTATTCTAAATTTATCAACAACTAATGCAATGTAAAATAAAATGGTTTAGTTACTAATTCACTCCAAGGTTTATAAAATATAATCTATAAATCTTGAATTTAAGTGTATATTTTGAGCAAAATTAATTACTAATTAATAGATATTAATAATTGAAAAGCAAACATAATTACAATATGATATTATCAATTTCTAGTTTTTACTGAACACAAATAAAAAAAAAAAAACCACTAAAAATACTCGTATAAATAAATAAATCTACTTCAGATTATTCAAAACTGTTTCAAAATCATGTTCATCTTCTTCATCTTTGCTCCACCCTATACTCTGACTAATTGCTTCTTTCCATTGATTATACTTCAAAGTTTGTTCTAGTAAAAATAAAAATAATTGTAAATTCATTGTTTAATCAAATAAATAATATAATATAAAAACAGCTGATATTTGGAATTTGTGCAGCCACTGTTTTAAGTGGGAAGTTAAGAATGTAGGCTACATTAAGTTATTTAATTTATATCTGTGCCCAAAAATGAATAAAAAAATATTTTTATATAACATAATTTTTAAGATTTTTAATAAACCCTATGATCTTAAAACACTTATGAAAAATATGAAAACTAATGCATTAATTTTTTGATCACTAAGCATAACTTATATTATAACTTGTGTTAAATTTGTATGCATTTCTCTTAAGCCATATAATTTTAATTACAGATACCTAACAAATAGAAGTTATAAAACATAAAAATAATAAATACCTATAAATAGCCTAAAAATAATTTAAATGTTTTAAAAATTTACCCACATCTATAAAAGTCCAATATAAATATTTTGTGAAAACTACAGGTCTCTACAATAATTTTTAACCAAATAACAATTAAAATCCTAAATCCTAAAAACATAATGCATTTCCTGGTTTTTCATAATTATAAGAAAAACGATACAGAAAATTAAACCACTTTCTTACTCACAAATAAGACAAAAATGTCTTTCAGAAAATATGCTATTCAGAAATGTGAACAGATTTCTGGTAAAAAAATACAATCTTAAAAATTCTAAAAAATGAAATTGTCCCATAATTTGAAAAAAAAATTGTCTTTTTTATCTTTTGGTTTTTCTCAATTATTAAAAGACTTCTTTACTTATCAAAAAATGACTATAACTAAGCTAAATATTAAATATAACACAGTCGATTTCTTGTCATTTTTCAATTGGAGTAAAATTTTTGGTAGTTTCCAAAAATTGAAATCAATGAAATCTGTATCATTTGCTACAATCTGAATATAAAATCAATTTTACTTATTTAAATACATTTAATACATGTATAAATTATTTTTTAAGAATAATATCAATATTGAATATAAATTTACTACAACAATTTAGACAAAATGATTACCTTCTTCAGTTGTAGTTGGTGAAAAGGTGTCACATTCAGATTTGATACTATGCATACTCCATACACCTACAGCAAAACCTGCTGCAAATGCAGCACCAAAAGAAGTAGTTTCAACCATAGAAGGACGGTCTGTTCAAAATATATACATTTTAATAATAAAAATAATACTATTAATATGTTCCTATAAAAGAATTGCAAATTTGACAATTTTGATAAACACAGGTTATAAGATTTACCAATAGGAAGGTTACAAGTGTTGGCGAGAATTTTTAGAAATGTGTCACTGACTGACAAACCACCATCTACATTCAAACTGATTATGAGATTTCCAGTGTCAGACTCCATTGCCCGTATAACATCTTTAGCCTGGAAACAGATTCCTTCTAGAGTTGCTCTCATCAAATGCTCATTTTTTGTTTCCATAGTCAGACCCGTGATGGTCCTGTAATGTAAAATAATCAATTTACTGGAGTGAACCTTCATAGTGTAGACAGACCTTCCATTTTAATATTTTACCAGGATACTCAGTAATATTTATTGCTAAATATGTTTTATTCCATTCTGTATATTGTATAACATAAAATATAATAATAGAAATTGAAACTTATAGTATTACTCACAAACCAGATTGTCCATATTTATTGACCTTTAATTGTAGGGAAATTTATTAGATATAGATAAGATTAACTTCACTCAGACAGCTGTTAGATAAGCAAAGTAGTGTACCCAGAGGTAAAGCTAATTAATAAAAAGGCATTGACTATGTTTAAGTAAAAATAATTAATATAAACTATTTAGCAGTGAAAACTTATTTCTTTTAGGTTGTGGACCAGTATACTTATACATTTATACTTTTTTTTTTATATTAATAATATAGTTTTCCGAGTTCGACCAGAAAATTTGCTAAAATTATCAACTTTGGTGATAATTTTTGATAGACAATTTTGTTTAATTGGTGCATTGAGAATGTTATTAAAACTAGAGAACGTAAATGTCAATATTATGGTTTTTGTTATTGATTTTGTATTTTTGTGAAAAATAATTATAGAGATGTAAATTTAATTAAATACTTATATTTAGCCCACTAACTCCATGAATTGCCATACAGCAATGTAAATAACACTTTTTGGACATTCTACATAAAATAGGAATATCTTGTATCCTGATTATACTATCAAGTCATTAAAAAACTTTATCTTTAATGATTTAAACAAAGATGCTTCTGGGACAGTGGGCTGAATCTTATCCAGTCCACATTACTAATTTCACATTTTCACTAATTACTTAACTATGTACATATAATTGTACTATATAATTATGGATATATATTGTAAAATAACTAAGAAAAAAGTATTTTTTAATAATAAATTTAGATAAACTTTGCTTCACTTAAAGGTTGATTACTATGCCATGCGCATAGTTCATATTGGTGCATGTACAAGCACTGGTTTACAAGTAATACTATCAGTATTGATACTTTTTTATTAGACCTTGTATATTACATTGCATAATATTTGTATACTAACCCACGAGCATCACTTTTCCAGTATGGTGCATACAAGCCTGAAAAGGCAGGAACAAAATGAATACCATTTGAGTTTTCTACAGATTCTGCTTTTTCGGATATACTGGGGTAGCTATCCACCATGTGCATATTTTCTATCAACCATTTGGCTGCTGATCCAGCAACAGCTACTGAACCTTCAAGAGCATAAATGGGATCTGCGTGTTTGCCTAGCCTAAAAGCCACAGTAGTTAAAAGACCATGGTCAGAGATCACAGGCTGAAACAACAGAATTTCAACTTCATTAAAATAACATAATATGAATTCATCCACTGAGAGAATTAAATGGCGTATCAAAAAAAAAACACAAAATTATATTATGACAATGTGGATAGCAAAATGTTGAACAAAATTGCATAATAATTTACATAATATTACATAATAAACTAAACTCCTAGACCAAATTTGGGTCGTGGGTAAATTAGGGTCATGGAGGTACTATGGTGAGTAGTGGAAGTGTGTTTCATATACTATTTTATATTTTTCATCTAACTGTCTAATTAAATTTTGGGTATAGCTCAAAGACAAATCTATTTTGTCAACAAAATCCGAAAATGCTTAACTACCATCTCAAGAACATATCAATGTGAAGTTGGGTTTTCTGTTTTAGAAGTTTTAAAGAATCAGAATACAGAAATCACTTTGATCCTCTCAACACAATATGTAATGTACACTATCACATAATATTCATCTTAATATTGAAGAACTTGTGTAAAATGTCTAAAATCAAGGAAGTAATTAAAATATTAATTTTTAATAGTAGGTATTTAAATTAATTTGTATAATATTGTAAAAAAGAGTAGTTAAAAAACAAGAATGTTATTAATACAAATTATGATTTCAATTAACATGATCATTTTTTTTTTTTATGGCCGCAAAAAGTTTAATTTAATATTTTTGAGTCACACTAATAAAATATTGAGGACTGCTGTCATAAAGTATAGAATAATGCAATACATAAATATTTTTTTTATTAATTATGAATTTCATTACATTAGTTTTATCAGAAAATTACCTTGCGCCCAGTGTTATATAACAAAAAACATCCAGTTCCAAAAGTGCTTTTGGCCTGGCCCGCAAAAAAACATGTTTGACCTATTAATGCTGCTTGTTGATCACCCACACACTGTAATAAAAATAAATAATATAGACAATTTTAATAATATTATGTTCATGTAATTGGCAGATAATAATTACTCCTGAAATAGATGTTTTGGCAATAGGTCCATCAATAAAATGTCCATAGACTTCTGCACAACTACGAATTTCTGGAAATAACACTCCATCAGGTATATCAAAAAATCTGAAAAAATGAAAAAATTTGTTATATTTTAAAAAGTATTATTTAAACTGTATTTAGTATTAAACAAAAATAAAACTTAACAATAAAATGCATACACAATCAATAATTTACTAATTATATCCCAATGAAAGAAATATTTGTTTAAAATAAATTAACATGACAAAACACACAACTTAATTTTGTAAACGGCTTTGTAATATTTTAGAAGATACTTGGATTCAGAGAAATTAAACTCAAAATCCATACCTTATAAAAGGCTATTACTTATACAGTGGATTTCGCTTAATGTGGGCACCGGTTAATATGGGCATCCGCTTAATGTGGGCAAACAGGTCTGGTCCCAATACAAATGTACATTAACAAGGTTAAATAAGACCGCATAATATGGGCACTTGATTCGGTTTATGTGGGCAATTTTATTTTATAATAGCGTTAGAAAATAGACATATTGTATTTAAAAACAACTAAATTTAATCAGGTTTCATCGTATCTATGAGATTGTGTTTATCGAAAGTAATAAAAATCATTTATACCATTTAAACCTTGATGGGATTTTAATGTCTGTAAATGTTATTAGATGCGATAAAAATAAAACACGCCTCTGTAGCGTCAATATAGTTTTAGTGTTTAGTCATTTTTAACATGAATTTCAACGTAACAATATGTCAAGAAAAGATTTCTCCCTTAAGAAAAAATTGCGATTTTGGACAAGGTGAAATCGCTATCTCCAGGCACTTCACAATGTAAAACTGCTGAACAATTATGTGTTCCGAAATCAACTGTGGCGAAACTGCTCAAAGAAGAAGTCACTTCAATTCAACTTAAACTGGTAATCAAAAACGTAAACGGGAAGGGAAAGATCCTGAAGTTGATGAGGTCTTAAGTGAATGGTTTTCATTAATAACAAGTGGCGGTATTGCGTGTCTGGGCCATTGTTGAAATGTAAAGCCGAAGAATTATCCCAGAAAATAGGTAACAATCAGTTTATTGCTACTGATGGTTGGTTAAGCAGGTGGAAGAATAGACACGAGATAAAATTCAAACGTGTGCATGGGGAAAAAGCAAGTGCTGATGAATCCCCCTCTAATGATTGGAAAATTGACAGGCTAAAAATAACTTTGAATGAAAAAAGTGACAAAATAAACATATTGCAAGCCATAAAGTTTATATCAGAGAGCTAGCAAGAAGTTAGCTGCACAACTGTTATGAATTGTTTCGCTCATTGTGGATTTTCTAATTTTGTTGGTCCACAACCTGAGTTGACTGAATTGAATGAACAATTTTTACTTATTCAAAACTATAACGAGTTTGAAAACATTGATGAAAATGCTCCTTGTTTTGATAATAATGAAGACATTTGTGATGTTGTAGTATAAAATGTTCTTAAAAAAAGGAAGTTGGAAGATGAAGAAGATACCGAACCACCAGTTACAGCCAGAGAGGCTAAAAAGTGCATTGATTTGTTGCAGAAGTTCTTCATGCAACAGGGTAACGAAAATAGTCCATCTGATAAGCTTGAAGCGTGTGCCCATTTTGTCAACCAAATCCACACTAAACAGCTTAGACACCGAACAATTACAACGTTTTGTATACCATCCACATCCAAAGAGTAATTTTATTTAATACAAATGTTATACATATTTAATTTTATTTATATACATAGTAATATTTTTTTCAATTGTAAAAATAAAAACTTTTTTGATATTATAAATTGTTGTGTTTTTGAACTAATTTTGGTTTATATGGGCAGCCGCTTAATGTGGGCATACAGGGTTGGTCCCAACATGCCCACATTAAGCGGAATCCACTGTAATTGTAAATATTTTTCGTATGAAAGTTCAAAAGTACTTGACAATTTATATAAAAAAAATTATTATTAAATTATGAAGTTTGTCTTATCAAATTATTAACTTAACTTTAAACTTAATTATTAATTATTTACTTAAAGAGTTCAATCTAATAAAAATATCTAATATACTGATCAAAATTATTAAATAGGTTAACTAAGAAATAGACTATATATTATAAATGATTATCATATATTATTTATATGAATTATACAAAAAATATTTATAATTAATTTTCACATTTAAAACAATTTAATGATATAAATTAAAACCTTAATGACCATTAAATAAAACCAGTGTTTTTTTTAACAGGTTAGCCACGTATAAAATTTGGACTAGACATTTACAATCAGGAAAATGTCTAAGATATAATCTTGATCAAACTATGTACTACAATTTTATAGAATAATAGAGAATCAAAGTTAGAAGAATAACAAAAACTAGAGTATTTGCAAAATTCCCTAATAGGGTTTGAATATAATAAGAAAAGAACTAGATATGTTGTTAAAAGTGGAAAATCAACATATGAAATTGAAAAAACTAGTGATTTTAAAGATATAAAAGGGTTCTAGAACTGATCTAGAACAGAGGATCTCAAACTTTTAATGTCACTTACTACTTATATCTATTATGGATCTGTCTAGAACAACTATTCATGTTTTTACATTTAATTCAAACCAATAATAGTATAACACAGTAAAATAATTCAATATAATAATAATATATATAATAGTATTAGACACATTAAAAAATATTTGTACAAATATTGATTAATTTTTTTTTGTACTGTTACCATACAACTTTTTGAGTATCACTATATTGCCTATCATGTACTATTGCATACCACAGTTTGAGAACCGCTGATCTAGAAGATCAAGTTTTAAGAGAAATTAAAAAAAAAAAAAGATCGAAATTGCATTTAAAAATAAATTTTATGGTATAATAGTCTAGTATGAGACACACATAAAAAAAAACAATGAAATATTAAAAAATTTTAAAAACAAAAATTAAATATCGTTTAGTTTCTAATCTGCACGATTATTATTCAAGAGTAAAAGACACTAATAACTATTACAAGAAAAACAAATTATTGACGTTGATTAAAATAAAAATGTTTTTAGATATCAAATCTATTAGAAGCAGCTAGAATTTATAAAAGATACATACTCCATCAATGTTGTATCCCATCGTAATGAGTGTATATTCATCAGCATAGTCCGAGAAGCATTTGTTACATCAGTCATATGAACACCACCTTCTACACCACCAGTCAAATTCTAAACATTTTAAAATCAATAACTGTAATATAACACATAAATACTTAATACATTAAAAAATATTTAAAAATTATGCTCAATCAGTAATCATTATTTTATTATTCAGCACAGGATAATGGTGCATCAATATTTGAAAACTAAATTTAAAAATAATCGCAATAAAAAAAAAAAAATTGTGGGGTATCAGAATTTAATTCTAATTATATAGAAAGTATATTCTCTGTTCATGTTCATTTTTCAACTATAAAAATATATTTATTGTCTAAAGCAGTGGTCGGCAACCTTTTTACACTCCCGGGCCACATTCATAAATTAAAAAAAGTTCGCGGGCCAGACAAAAATAAAAATTTTGTATTCCAAATTATTTACTAAGAAAAAAAATAACTGTTTAAAACTTTAAAATAATAGATTAATAGAACATAAAAATAAAATTACAGTTTTTAATAACATAATTATAATATAAAAGTATGGAAATTACAACTGCTTAATAGGCTTAATGTGATTTTTGTTTTTGAATATTGTTTTTCGATGTCCACATTAAAATTACTTGTGCTGGCTCTAAGTACATGGTGGAGATAGTCATCAGTTAAGCGTGAACGGTATGGATTTTTAATTTTTTTCATATGAGAAAAAGCCTGTTCACATAGGTAAGTGGATCCAAACATACTGAAGTATTTTGCAGCTATATTTTTAATTTTTGAAAATGAGGCAGGAAGTTCAGCGAAAAAAAGTGAAAGCGATGCTTTGAATGAGTCTTTTAAGATATTTTGTGGCTGCAAATCTATTATTTCCATTTGAAGCTCAACAGGTATATCTTCAACATCAATATTAAACGGATTGGCGAGTAGTTGAAAATACTGTGAATGTCGTTTGAAATCTTGAAATCGATTATTAAATTCTTGTTGAAGTATTGTGCAGAGTCAACAATATTTGTACTTTCATCAAGTGCTAACGAAAAATATTGAAATGTTTTGGTTTTTTTTTATCAGTTGATTTAATAAATTGTCACCAACATTTTCAATACGTCTTGTTATTGTACGAGCAGATAATGGGACTTCTTCAAACTTATGTACAATATCTGGACAAATATTACCGGCCATGCGTAGTACACATTTTTGGACAAATTCTGCGTCTGTAAATGGTTTTCCCTCTTTCGCAGTTAACATAGCTACATTCACACTGGCAGAAATAACGGCTTTATTTTGAATAGTTACTTTTGAAAAGATCGTTTGTTCTCCGGTTAGAGCTTTTTGTAGTTTATTAACTTCAATTTCTCTGAACTGTCCGTATAAGGAGTCATATTTAACTTTATGCTTGGATTCATAATGCCGTTTAATATTGTATTCTTTCAATACAGAAATTAATTCACGACAAACAAGGCACATGACTTTTCCTTTATTTTCAATAACAAAGTATTGATTGCTCCATTTATGCTGAAATACACGACATTCAGAATCTATTTTTCTTTTTTTACTGACATTCATTATAATTAGTTTAAAATTTTAATTAACAGTCAAATAAATGATCACTATAAATATAAAATCGAAATTATAATGTTATTAAAACTACACAAGACGAAAAAACCGTACATACCCGTACGAAAAACGCAATGTTACTGAACACAATTGAAAATTAAGATTATAACCCAAATACACTCGTTGTTTCTACTCTATCTTATCGATAACTGCCAAGGTATATCTACCATTATAAAATATGACTGATAGAAGAAACGTTCAATTCTATTTATACAATATGATTTTTTTGATATGGTATTAAATTAAATTTCGTTGTTATAGAATTTAAAGCGGGCCGTATTTAATAGACTCGCGGGACGGATGCGGCCCGCGGGCTGCCGGTTGCCGACCACTGTTCTAAACAAACAAAAATAAAATATTGATCCCATTTGAGCTTTCTAAGAAAGTCGCAGTGATTGTAGAATTTCCTATTTAAAATATATGCGCTTTTTCATTTATTCTGAATTTTATTTAGATAAGGCATATAGATTTGACAAAAAAAAAAATTGCGTTTTGAAGGTTGTCTTTGGAAATTATCGAGTTTAAGGAACGCTTAAGGGGGGGAAATTTTTTTTTTTTAAGTTATCTGGCAAAATACTAAAATTGTAAAATACCAAAATAACAGCGTTTTTATACGTAAACTATTGTGAAAAAACTTACCAATAGTGTCAATGTGTGATATCATAAAAAATAACAATTTCGAACAGTTAGAACATTAAACAATAGAGATAAAACAAGACATATTGTTTTTCGTTTTATCATGAGTATTTCAAAATAGTCCATGTGTATTGAAGTTATTTACAGATAAGTGGGTACGTATGCATTTATACATTTTTTTTGATTGACATACTTATTGTTTGATACAGAGGGACCCATATTTTTGATGTTAATACGATTTTCAAAAATTCAACACGCTAAAAATCATAGATTTTCCGGAAATATTGATGATATTTTATGAAACTAAGAAAAACTATTAGTAAAAAGCTGACATGGAACGACCGATATAAACTTTATTTCGTTACAGGGGCACTTAAGAATTGTCTTAGAAAGCTCAAATTAGACTTAATTTTATTTTTGTTTTTTTTAGAATAAAGGTAGGGGCGTCAAAACAAAAATTCCGCCATAACCCAAATAAGAACCACTTTAATAAATAAGATGGCACAATTGTTGTCTACTATTGGTCATCGACAGTACAAAATAATTTTATGAGAAATATACGAGTACTCAGTATCTATATAACTTTTTTATTCGGCCATATCACAGTAAATTCAACAGCGAATTCAATACTGCTCATTCCAACATTTCTAAGATTATTGAAATACTGTACTCCGAAATGTAAATAAAAGCTCGTAGTCATACAAATATTCCTAGAACCACATAAAAAAAAAAAAAAAAAAAAAAAAACAGGAGTTTGTTGGGGCGTCATTGATGAATTTGTATCTAATAAAATAACTCGACTGGAATATATTATAAAAAAAAGTACGCCTCGAAAACTTACCTTTAGCCTAAATTCCAACAACCAAATCTTTCAACGAAAACATACATTTATAATACCTATGGGTTTTTTTTTTTAATCAAACTTTAAAACTATCAAAATATGATATACTTTGCTTTATTAAAACACCTACATATTTTGACCACACCTATTTTGAGAAAATCCTTAATCTAAATGAAGTGGAAAGGAATTTGTATTGTTAAAAATGGGAGCCATTTGAGAACTGACGTATTTATAGAACGGGAGCTGTTTGGAAATCGACCTATTTGTAAATTGTAAAATGGGAGTCGTTCAGGTAAAACGGGAGCCAAATGGGTTATAGCCTTTTTTTACGAATAATACGTAGTAATTTGTATTACATCGACCAAATAGCAATATTTTCTTAAACCTAGAAGTAGGTACCAGATTTTTGTTATGTGTTTTAAACTTTTAGGTTTAACGTGTAGCGGAGAAGCTATATTTCTTACTAGATATACAACGATAAATTTTTTAGTATATTGATTTTCGTCAAAATTTGAATTTAAAATGTTAATAATGAAAAAAAATAAAAATACTACATTATGCTCTACATATTTTTTTATCAACATTAAATATATAACTTATAATACACCTCGTGTTCAATTTTAAAAGATTATGATTTGGCCATAAAATTAAAGTCCTGTAAATCGAAAAATAGTATATGAAATAACGTGATTGTTTCTTTTTTCGTTAGAATTTGAAGTTTGAATACATATATATACAATAAGATAAACATTTATATTTTTTATTTCTATTATTAGTACAAATCTGAAATCATGATGAGTTATGGATTGAGTTTACAATTTTTAATTATTTTTACTTAGCAAAACAGTTCTATCCACATAAAACAAAAGAAACACTAAACAAATTAAATGCTTAGGTATATTTTGTTTCCGTAAATATGTTATACCATTTGGAGCAAGATTTTTGAAATAAAACTAACATCGAAAAATTTAAAAATAATGATATAATGAAATCGGTAAAATAGTGGCACGCCGTCAATATTTTTCCTTTTTTTCTACAGGTTTGTTTTCAGTTTTTTCGAATTATTCTGAAAACTATTTGGAAAATCAAAAAATTATATCCTAAATCAATGAGATTTAAAACGTAACGGGAACGTCTTTGTTATTTTTTTATTTGAACAAGATTTCTAGTAAAAAAGTTGAAAAATTTACAGACATAAAAAAAAAAAAACACACACATTTAAGTAAAACCAGTACATCCCTTGTTCTATTCAGAATCTAAAAACAACTAATTTTAAGTTTTATAGCTACGCTCGAAAAATGAAGGGTATTTAAATATAAGTATTTTTTTAAATGAATAATTTACATAACGTTTTTAAAATTATAGAAATCGTTTATTAAATACATTGTTATTTTATTCATTATTTTTCTTCGGGGGAAAAAAGTAGGCAATTTTAATTATTAAAAGATTTCAATAACTTTTTACGCTTATAACTATACCATTTTATTAACAACATTTTATGGGTTTCTGTGTAAAAGACCACCTGTAATCTGCAGAGCTCTGTCACTAAAGAATCGAATTTTCTCCCGTCTTTTTACATTGTAGATATATGTATATTCTTTATGAAACAATAAATAATTGAATACTATTACAGTAATGTATACTATAGTATTATATTGTTGTACTAAAAAAAAATAAAATGGTGTAACTAGCATAAGAAGGATTTTTTTCATAATTTGTTTATCATAATTTCCTAGAGAGGGGATAGTATATAATATAATAAATACAGTACTATCACTACTATTTCTGAATGAATGATTTTTGTTAAAATAAATATTATTATATTATGTTGTTAAATGTAATACTAAGTTTAAAAAAAATGTAGTAAAGGAAGAGATTTCGAAGGGGGGGGGGGTTGAATCCCTAACTTTTCTCCTTGGCTGCTTCTATATGTGCCACTGGTGAAATTTTAGTATACAAACGATAGTCGTTAATAGTTGATACCCTCAAAATGTAAGTCGTTATATTATCCCCCTGGTTTTTTTTGGGGTCTGTAGTGGTAGTCCCTGCCAAAAAAACACCCTTCTCCCACAACCACACCGTGAAATCTGGATTAAAATTACTTTCACCTTTTATGTCGTCAATCTTCATATAAGATAATAAATTATTTCTTACAAGATTAACCTCATCTTTGGTTTAGATATCGCTGTCAGAAGTGCACACAAGTAGCGGGACAAAGAACTACGATTTTAAACTTGGACTGACCAGTCAATTGTTCATATTTATAATGACATTTTATTTTAGATTTGAAGCGTAGTTATATACAAGTTAAAAATTAATAACTTTACATAATTATAATTCCTTTATTTTAAATGTGACGGTTTATGTTTTCTACCAGAAATATTGCTCCAATAAAAAATTTACGAAAGATATTCGATATAAGATAAGAATATTAAACGATTTAATTTCATAAAAATGTTTTATTAAACAAAAACATATATTTTATTTATCTTCAATGTAGTTATAAACCCGCAATCAAATAATGAAAATAACTATGCGTTTGCGCGTTTGGTCTTAAAGATTGTTCATCGTTGTTAATAACATATTATATGTATGTGTTTTTAAATATTCGTGTATGTATAATTTCATGTCACTTTTCGTATTTTCCGTTCATAAATTACTGTAGATTATATATGTGTGAGAGAAATGTGGGTGTATGATGAGTAAAATCTAACGTATATATATACGTTTATAGAATATATAAGGCCTAGTGGGTTGACAGGAAGAAAAGACTTAAGCATTTCGGTATAACTTAAAGCCAACGGAAAGTTCGAATTTACATTTTCGCCCAAAACATGCGCATCAGTCACCTTATAGGCTGCACCCCTTCGGGCGATGGTTATGCAAAAACTTTCGGTGTATACGCAAAAGAAAAGTTGCCCCGGCAATCCGTCATTCACGCGCACACAGTGTGACTCCATGTATAATATATATATATATTATATGTATATGGAAAGCTCGCCAAATAATATATTATGTCGTGAATATTAAATAAGCTTATATATATACGACACGGAAGGAGTAGGGGAGGGTCTTGCGCCTAAATGCCGAGACACGCTACGCGGAATACACGATAATATTATAATATAATTCAATTAACGTAATGCGATCATAATCTTGACTAAATTAAGCAAAGAAAATTTAATAAAATCCGAAACTGTTAAAAGATATCTGTTTAGGAATAAAAAAACCACCGCAAAAATGATAGTTTACCTATACGCAACGGTGTTCCTATCAATTTTTTTTTTGAAACGTACTGTAACGTCCTGTACCTTTCATAGAATATTTTCTTTATTTCTTATGGTTTATTCTGTTTAGAGGGGAATACGAGTAGATGATATCAGTTATACAGAAATTAAATTAAAATTACCAAAATAATATATTCAAAATTTAAAAAAGAACTTGTTATAAATCGTAAGAATATTATTAATTTTTTAGTTATAAATTTATAATTACTGACAAAAATACAACTTTTATTGCAATTACTGGTTTTATTGGCATGATTGGTCGCATAAACAATCAATGATAATAATAATATTTAATACCATGACAATTTTTAAAATTTTTTTTGAAAAAATTTTGAGATTGTACGCAATATTAGTGGCGTTTAAATTAATTTGGGGCGGAGAGGTTTAAAAAAATATATTTTGGGTTTTAGTTATATATAGATTAAATAAATTCATAAGTACGCACCAACCAACCATAAACCCGTGATTTTTCATCAAAATATTGGGAGTCAGTAGTGAATACGTGAGAGGTAGGATGAAAGGGTGATCGCTTCCTCATTGTATTTTTTTATGTAATTTTACGAAGATAGGTTTAGCGCTTTTGCATTATATACACCTCGACAAAGTGTTGGATATGAGGGTACAATCATAGACAGATTTTCAAAAAAAAAAAAATAAATAATATGCACCAATTTAATTGTGTAACTAATAATTACTAAACTGACCTTTAAGTTTAAACTTTGACATTACAAATACAAAAACAATTACAAAAATACATGTATATAAGCTACTCCACAAAAATTGGTGTAACTAGTCATTAATTCATTATAAAAATTATTCAAATAACACAGAAATAAATTACCTAACTTTAAGTCAAAGGTTTGATAAGTAAAACAGGTATTTTCTTTTTCGAAAATCTACCCCCTTCGAACGTGTATAGACTGTGAAGTTGGTGATAGTTCACGAGTAAAATGATTGGCCATGCACATTTGAAACATTATACATAATAAGTACAGTCAACTACACGGAAAAATGAAACTAAAAATGATATTGAATATCGTATGTAATAAACCCAGTCTGTATTTTCGGAGATAACGTCGGTCGTAAACACAAACATAATGCAATAATATTCAAACCTAAATAACCTCCCTTCCTAGTAAGAACATCGTAATATTCTCCGGCTATAGATTGGTGATCCTCAGCGGTAGACGACATTGCGGCGGTCTAAGTAATCTGGTGAGGTATTGATCATGTTTTCCTGTGTAGTAAAGGTAACCCAAAAATCAATAAAAGCGAAGACTATTAAAAAAAATCATCGTTTATTGTCAATTGTTTTAAATTGTTTAGGTAATCTTTTCTAGGGGATCTAGAAAAATATTTTAAAAAAAATACTATAGTACGAAAAATGTATATCTTATAAGGTACGACGTGTAAAATAATATGGAGTATTTTTACTAATAAAAAAAGTGTTTTCCAAGATAAAAAAAAAATTGTAGATTCTTCGCTACACGCTACATCTAAAAGTCTAAAACACATAACAAAAATCTGGTACATAAAATTTAAAATTTAAATTTCTAAGAAATACTGCTACTTGACCTGAACAATACAAATTATTCCATTGTATTCATAAAAAAAATCTCAAATTTCGGGAGGGGGTAACCACCAAATTTCCCCTAGTTACGCGACTACTAATAGTAATAAACAAGTACTAAAATATTCATTAAAATATATAAACTTAGTAATGTAATGATATTTATAATTTGTGTCAAATATTTGCTATAATTGCCTACACTGTTTTGTTTCCATTTCTACTTTATAACGTAATGCCATTTAGGGCGCTTCTATAAACGCTATGAAAATAAACTACATACTCCACTCAGAATTGTTTTTAATTTTATCATTACATATTACAGTAAGTATTTAAACTAAACCATCATATTATATCATATTTCATCTTCCGAAATACTCACCTATAAGTTATAATAGTGACCTACACATAGTATGATTTTTTAAAATTTTTTTTTTTATTAACACTTATTATTATAGTTACAAACCAAGTTATTATCGTAATAATCGTATTATTCATAATAACTTTAAACGCACGCAACATAAATATTAACCAAAGTGTTACTTTAAAGACTGAATTAAAGTTGGCTTATGGTTTGTTAAATTATTTATAAAAAAAAAATAAATAAAAAAATACTTTCACAAAGTAATCTAGCGTAATATCTACCCTTCTTTTACTAATGCCGGTACACCTTTGCAGTCGTGTGTAGCCTCGTATACCTAGGTATATAACGTAATAAAATTCTGTGATATGCACTTTTATAAGGATTAAAAACTGACAATCTCACTTTTAACGAAAATTACTGGCTTGTTCGCGAGAGGGTTGCTAAATCGCTAATACACCGCGATGTGAAGACCAGTGATAAAAAATGAATAATTACGCATTGTTCTACATCTGGTATAAAACTTTGGTCTGCCGTACATGTTTTGTTACGATATATGTAACTGTTTATTATTATAATGACGAAGCGACCACAGAACAATGGAAGAAACCGCTAGGTCGTTTCAACAATTTTCCCCGCGGAGCTATGTGTACGTAATTTTCGCAAAATAAAAATTAAATTAAATCCGCGTGTTATGCGATGTGGGTTTATTATTTCGAGCGTAGTTATATTATAATATAAATTTAAGTATAATAATAATATTTGTGTGTGCGCGAAGTATTAACGTGACCGTTAGAAACAAAAGGGTTAACTTTTGACCGACCCTATACTAAAGCTGTAGGAAGTGAAAATTACATTAGGGGGAAAATTAAAGGGGTGAAACTATTTTGAAAAAAAAAAAATCTGTCATATCCATTCACATTATATAGAGTGTGATTGACGTAATACGTACTAGTATATTATTATAATATATAATATTAAAATATTATACGTGAAAATTGAAATATATTTATAAAATTGTATGCATTTTATTTTGTTCTTATCAAATAATTTTTTTTGCATTTATTTACAGATACATGACCTAGAATAAAAAGAATTCAACTAAAGGTCGTAATCATCTACATGAACAGTCGAGAAATTCAAATGCTTAGAACTGCGGCTATGAAGTCGTGAGTGTGGACGGACGAAAAATGGTAGCGATTATAAATGCTATCGTAGTGCCTTTGCTCTTCTCAATCGTCGTCGGTGTTGTAGATTTCCAAAAAGAGTGCGCTTTGGAGTTGCCTTCAAACGGATGGCACGATATTTACTGTGATGTTATACCGTATAAAGTCGACTTAAGTCACATCAGCGAAATGACTAATTTGGACGTATCGCAAAACAATTTAAATGCCATTTATATAGCTAGTGATAAAAATCTAACATTATCGACACTTGATTTGTCTAAAAATAACATACTAAATTCTTGCAACGTACTCACCAGTAGTACGGTAAGGGTTCGTTCAACTATCTTGTCTTTCAATAAGATAAACAATTTCTCTATGTGTTTGGACACGGCGAATCTTACATTAAGTTGGAATCACATTAAGTCGTTGAATAAAGCCGATATGGTGAACGTGTCATCATTAGAAATATTGGACCTTGGATATAATTTTATATTATGGATTGAAAACGATACGTTTGTCGGGATGCCGAATCTACAATGGTTGAACTTAAAAGGTAACGCGTTAACAATGATATCGGAAAAGACGTTGCCAAGTACTACTTTGCTGTACTTAGATGTTTCGGAAAACTATGACCTTGATCGGTCGACAGTATTTGAGCCGTTTGAGAATCTCGTCGAACTCAATATTGCCAGAAACGTGAAACTGGCGCCCGTTGTTTTAGGTTCTGGTCCAAGGCTTCAGGCGTTAGACGCTTCACATACGAATCTTACCGAAATCCCGGTGACGCCGGCTCCGCTTTTGGGCTCGCTCATTTTGAGTGGTAATATGATAAGGGTGGTGAACAGTGGTGATCTAGATGGATTTCCTTTACTCCATTTTCTTAACATTAGTGGTAATCGAATTAAAACAGTCGAAGACGACGCGTTTGGTCGGCTCGATTTATTGACCGTACTGGACCTATGCGGTAACATGTTGGAAACGGTACCGAAAAGTTTACCAGGGAGTTTAGAGACATTAAATTTAGAAGATAATAAAATACAATACTTGGAAATCGAAGATTTTGATGGTTGTAAACGACTAAAAACGTTAAATGTCCGGAAAAACAATATTCGGCATATACAAGATTTAACTTTTGCGTCGTTGGTGTTTCTTGACGTTTTGGATATATCCGAAAATCCGATTAAAATGATTACTAGAGAAATGTTAACGGGTCCAGTAAGATTAAAAGTTTTGAAGCTGGAGTCGCTAGCAGCACCGGAAACGCCAACGTTTCCATTTACTGACACTCGTTATTTGAACCGAATTCAATTAGCGCACAGCAAACATCTTGCTGCAATTTTATTGAACGACAGTGCCGTATTGTCGTCAATGTTTCAGCTCGACTATTTAGATTTGACGGGCTGTGCTGTGTATTCATTGCCCACTCGTTTACCGTACTATATGCCCAAAATGAAAACATTGATAGTGCAGGAACTCAAGTGTTTTTGCTCGTGGCTCAAAGACTGGCTGTGCGAGATTCACGCATCTGCTAAAGAATATCGACATCCCCGGACAAACCAGACAGAACTCCGATTGAGGAATTTCCGACAAAAGAAATTACAATCATCGGTGGAAAGTGTGCAATGTACACGAGGTAATGGCAAGATACAACAAGTGTTCGATGTGAAACATTGTGCCACGATCGTTACGACTTCGACTTATCGCATTACCATAAACACAAATACTACGGAATATGCAGCAGTATTTGCGCGACTGAGAGCAAAAGACCTACCGAAAAATACGCACGCCGTGGTTGAACCCACTCATCCTGGTATGATAGTGTTCGTGTGCGTTGTGTTTCTGTTGGTAATTTTGGCATGTGGTACTGTTTGGATTGGAATAAGGGGAGATGCACTCAAGAGATTACAATGGAGGCAAAACTCGGCGGACGTGGACTACCAAACTATAGAAATAAAGAGCTTAGAAAGTTTAAATCACGTTGAAAGGTGGTGAAATAAGTCTGAAGTGTAAACTATTTATAAACACCTATCTAATATTATAAAGTTGTATTTTTTTTTATTGTGATGTAAATGTTTTGTGAACTAAGCTAAAATTGCGCAGCGTAGTAAATTAATTTTAAAAACCAACGTGAACATTGTATTAACAGTTATTTGTTATTTTATGAATTGAATTTGTAAAAAGAATAAATTCGCTTTTACATGGATTATGTTTCAACATATTATTTACAATAGTTAAAAATCACTGTAACATTTTTAGAGTAGGTAACTAAAGGTATTTTAGGTGTCTGGAAAATATTCTGTGTTAAAAAAAAAACAAACAATCAAATAAAGAGGATAAAAAAAACTACAAAGTAAACGGGTTTTTCATTACAACTTTCAATTCAAACCTTAGCTTAGAAGTGACAGATAATGAGTTTTAAAGGTACACGTTTGAAATCCATTAAACGGCGTGTTTAAAAAGTTGTTTTGGTCATGTAACATATTTGTATTATTATAGTTTATTTAAATTACATCATAATTTTATAACATATTTATATACGTTATTTAAAATATATATATATATATATATATATATATATAATTGTGTATGTTACAAAAAAAAAAAAAAAGGATTCGTAGATCATAGATATATGAGATTATATGATATACTTATTCTGGTATTTTATTATTATAATGAAAAAATGACCACCATATATTATATATCTGTGATAAAATTGAAAAAAATAAAATATACAATTTACATATTTATGTACATAATTATAAAGCAATTTAAATTAAAAACATAGTAATATAAATTTGAAAAAAAAAATGTACATGCCTAAATGAACTTTTTAAACACGCCCGTTTAAAGAATGTCAAATGAATGCGGTATATCTTTAAAATTCACTATCGGCTAGTCCTGAGCCTGGTAAAGTGTGAAGGGATAGTTTTAAAGAAAAATCCGTTTACCCAGTAGTTTATGTTAACCTCTTTGTTTGGTTTTAATTTTTTTTTTCGTTAGGATTTTGTTTGCTATTCAATAAACTATAGGTCGAAAAATGATACAGCATTATTTCCAGGCATTGAACATATTTCTGAATCTGCCGTTTTTAAATATCCCGTAGATTTGTTCAACGCTATATTCTTGTAATTAGGAGTACGTTCCAACTGCTTAACATATTTTTTAATGACCTTAGACCACCTAAATTTTTCCAGTGCATTCTTGATCTTCCCACAGGCTTTTTCTCTACAGAGTACTGTTCTACCACTGCGCGTTGCAGCGGATTCTGGTTTCTCTAAGTAAAATTAGCCCATGCTCAGTTTTCCTCTTCTGATGTGTCCGAATCTCTACATAATATTTTCAGCTTTATATTCTATCTTCGTCTCCATTATTTAATCGTGGGTTAATATAATTATTTTATTATCCTTGACTGGATCATACATTTTCCTCAAGATTTTTCTTTCAAAATCAATAAACTTATGTACGTCCTTTTTTCTGTATGGCTGAGTTTCAGAATCATTCATTTTAACTGGTCGTATCAGCATTGTACAAGTGTAACTGTTTTTTCATTTTTCTTGACATTGCTCGTGAATTTAATACATTTGTGAGTCCCTAGTAGATTTCCCGTTTGAATTTTTACGCTACCTCATTTGCTGTATCATTTTTTTTTCAGTTGAAATACTCCATAGGTCTTTGAATTTTTCTACTGTTTTAAATTCATACTGATTTATTTTTATGGGCTGCTAAAGCGGTAGGTTCCGTCTTCTTAAAACCATACACTCCGGATTTTCTTAATTTATACGGAATCCTATTTTTATTGCCGCTTTACAATTCTAACCAAACCGTGGCACAGGAATACTTGAATATTTTGCATATACTTAAGAGAAGAAATTTCTAAGAAACGGAAAGTTTTCGATTCCTCGCCGCAAATATCGTCCGCTATATAGGACGATTATGATGATTTTTTCTATATCAAATGTGTTAAATGTTTTGGGAATTTAGTTTGTAGGCTTTTTGTAGTTAAAACAATAATAATTATGATACGAATAATATGATTATTATAGAAGTTATGATACACAATTATTTTTTACTGTGTAGGTATACAATTATTATAATATAAGCTACGCTGCTACAACGTACGAATACATGAAATTGGCTTATTTAAAACAAATATGTTTTTTAAATTTTTATAAATTACCTATTATTCTAACTGACATCATTTTGTACGATTATTATTTTAATCATAGACGTGACGTATATATATATATATATAATCATATTTGTAAATACGATTTGGTGTAGATTAAATACGAACAATTATTATTGTTATTATTTCGACTTTTTATTTTATGAGATTTCATTCCTACATAATTATTATTATCAACAACGAAAGAATAAGCAACTAGAAAATTATCGTTCACGGGGACAAGTGGATATTTTGTACTCACATAATACATACGCACACACACACACACACACACACGTATGCATGTATATATACATTCATATATGCACACATACAAGCATACGAGTATAGATATAATATATATTGTGTATTATACATATGTATATAATTTTTTTTCAGTTCCGCGTCTTTTTTCGCTTTACTGCTAATGATAAAAAGTGTTACGGTGCTATTTCCTCTGTGTTGAGTAATTGATGACAACTACCGGGGCCAGTTGGCGTTGATTTATGGAACTTTTCCAGGGTCTGATTATTTCATGTCTCTTGCCGTTCTTTCTCTGAAGGAATAAGGCGAACAAAATATATATATATATATATAAAAAACGAAATATATATATATATATTTATATATATAATATATACGTGTACTACAATAATACGCAAGCTAGCACAATGCAACATCTTATCCAGGTCACGTAGACTGCGAAATTGTCGGGTTTAGCTTTAGCCACAGATAGAAAATCCATTTCTTTTTTTTATCTCGCAGACATCACAAAACATTTTTCTTCGTCTCCCATCGAACAAAATATTAATCATGGGATTTTTAATTTAAAAAAAAAAAATGTTGTTAAAAACGACGTTTTTGAAATCTATAATACAACAAATCACAAAGCAGCTATAATACTAATAAGTTCATATTCCCCGAAAACTGCACTTCTTAGTTTATATTAATTAAGTACTTGACCTCTTACGCAATGTAATAATTTTGACGAGATTTTCAGAATTTTAAAATTTGACCGGTTGTAGACAGTAATTTATTATATTTCTTTACAGTCTGCCATAATATTATTATGTATTAGTTGTAAATTTTCAACAACCGTTTTAAAAAAGGTCGAAATAATAACTAAGAATTTATTTTCATAATTTTTTTTTTTTACATTTATTAAGTACCTAATAGAAATTGATTATAGAAATTGAAATTAAAAAAAAAGGAAAAATATAATTCCTGCAATTAGATAGCACAGAATAGGTATTTTAAATAAATATCAAATCAATCCCTGGTCAAAATTATTTAATTTCTAATATTTTAAAATTAATAATAAAAAAAGCTGATAATGTACAATAATTCGCAAATCTGAATTTTTCAAAATTTTAGCGCCAATAATTAGTGCTTAATTCCTGTAAGTTCCTGTTTATTAAGAAGTACAATGAACTATTTCCACCATAATATTGTGTTAGCACGGTAAACTGTTGGTAAGTTAAAAAAAATACAACTGGCAAACCGAAATATGTATTTTAACGCTTAAATTACTTCAAAATGGCCTCAAAAGATGATTGCTGGGGTTGGTATTTTTACATATAGAGTTCATGGATACTTATTTACATAATATTTTATAGGTAGGTACCTAATACTAAATATAAACTAATAAAGTAACTTTTTGAAGAAAAACCATATGTATTAGGTATCTATCATGTTTAAAAATTTTCATAAATGGATTCAAAAAAAATATTGCTGTCTGGTTTTTACATAGGTCAATCTATAATTTATAATTACTATTTTCAAAAAGATACGGACATACTTCGCACGATATGGGTAGGTCACTGTTATAAGTGAGAAGTTGGGAAGGTACTAGGATATAGATGGAAATTTAATGTTTATCTTATACTACGGAACTATTAATATTCGCTAACGAAAAACGATTCTGAGCGGAGTTTGGTTATACATATTTTGAAAGACCATAATATTTACGATTCGAAAATAATACATACTATCATACTATCGTACATTTTTGTGGTTTTCTTTCGTTTTTTTGTCTCCCGGTTTTTTTTATTTGTTATGAAAACCCTGGATATATCAAAAAATCAGATATCCAGTCAGATATCCTTTTAGTAAAAGTACTACACTAGAAAATCGGAACAAAATGTCTGGTAGAAAAGATGTTCACAGAAAAAAAAAATAAACATCATTATAAAACCAATACATTCCTCTCTCCATTCAGAATCTAAAATATAGTGCATAATGGAAACCACTAATGGAAATAACGTTATTGTGATAAAACGATTATTTACTCTCTAAATTCTTTTTTATGTTTAATATACGAGTTTTCAATAATATAAAATCATTTTATACTCTTTTTATTTAGTGTGCGTTATCTATAATACCGCAGGTATCCAAGTTTAATAGTTAATCAAAACTGCAGAAGTAGTAAATTATGTACTATCGTTTTATTTATTTATACGTACATACTTTTTTTTTTTTTATACTCATTGCGTAATAAATGTCGGATGAAAATGCGAAATACACATAAATAACTCCCTGGCAGACGGTGGTATTGTGTGGAGTGTTTAATGAGTCAGGTACGGGTTAGAGTGATAAAAATGAATAAACGTGATGCGGGGTAGGGGTTGGGATAAAAGGACTGGTAAAGGCGTCAAAACACAGTTAACGTTTTAAAATTATTTTCAATAGCTAATATTGAACATAAATATTATTATAAATTTAATTAAAATATGTATTATGAAATCTGTGAAATTAAAGGAGAGAGACAAAAATGTACGAAATTACGTAACCGGATCCCATTAATCATGTTTGGCTGATGATATGAAAA